AAATAGAATCATACAGTATGTACTCTTTTTTTTTTGTCTAGCTTCTTTCAGTCAGCGTAATTAATCTGAGCTTTATCCATGTTGCTGTGCATACCAATGGTTCATTCCTTTTTATTGCTGAGTAGTATTCCATTATATGAATGTACCACAATTTGTTTATCCATTCATATGATAGTAATTTACATCAATATAATGCCCTAATTATAATATGCAAGAAAAACTGAGGGAAAGTAATAAATAATAGGTCAGTTCCATGTAGATACTCAGGCGTGATCACACTGGAATGCATACTCACAGAGTCAGACGCTTCACCTATACGCACGGTTACCTGAACCCAGGTTTGTTTGGCTCCAAAGCCCAGTGGTTGGTCACTCCATGCAGGAGGGCACAATGCTGTGTGGCCCAGCGTGTGGGGCCTGGGACTGAGTGGAGAAGGTGGACACAGGCAGATTTTAGCTCAGTGGAAAGACTCGTTTTTCACACTGCTGACCATCAGGGGGACGTGTTTCTTTTTAAACAATGTGAATGGTGTGTTTGGAGTGGACCACCAAGGGATTTCTCCAATCTGTTAAGCACCCACACTCCTTCACTAAGGTTCATATTTGATTTTTCAAAGGCATGTTTGTATTTCACTTATCTTGGATTTCACAGCCAATCCAGGGCTTTCCATCGGCACTTTCCTGAGTGGAAATGTAAGACGTCTTTGCAGCCCTGTGCTCAAAGGGGCCAGCAGCCTGCACGGGCGCTCCTCAGTCCTGCTGGGGGCCTCTCTCAGGCAGGATGTAATTTTATGGACGAAAGTATTTGGCGATGCTTTTGAGGCAACAAGGCTTTAGAACCTTCTACCACTAATATAAACTTCAGTTACATTTACCTTCTTGGATAATCTGCCCACAGTGTTATTCTTAAAGGAGTCTGTTGGTTGGTGGTGACCTTTGGCTTCTGAGTGGCCTGTTCTTGCAAGGAACTCACTCCAGAAACTTTGAAGAATGTGGTTGACCCAACAGGAGTGCTACAGAGAAGGATCAAAGTCCCCGGCAAGTGTGATGGGACATGCAACTGCAGGTTCTCTAGACTTTGCTTCTTGACTCCATTTTTAACATCAACTCGTTTTTCCCTGAATTCAATTACATATGTCATACTTTCCTTCTTATCCTTTGCTTCTTCCTGTTTTCCTTGGAAATGATTTCCTTCTACTTCTTCTATGAAGTGAACGCTCCGTTCATTTGTTTCTTTTATTTGAATGAAAGCAGTTAAGACTATGAATTTACTTCTAAGTACATTTTGGGATAAATTTCAGAAACTTGATATGTTAATGTCATTTTCATCATTTTAGAAACCTGTTATTACAGACTTTAGTTTGCCTTTAACCCAACAATTAGTCAGGGGAAAAAAAAGTGTGAGCGTGTTTTTCTTTTAAAGTTATAAGAAATTGGGAGAGGGGAGTTAATTGTAGCCAGAGTATGAAGCCTATATAATTCCTCCTTTTGGAAGAACTTGAGGTATCATTTCTAGCCTAGTTTACAATCAATTCGTGTAACTATTCCTGAGGTGTTTGAGAAGGTATATATTCTGTGGGGTAAAGTGCATGCCTGAAAATAAAGCCAAAAATCGAGTCTTATTAAGATATAGTTTGAACATGTCTAAGTGGTGACTGTCTTTTCATATATTTTTCCTGGAACGTAGGATATCTGTCAGATCTGCAAACACCTTTTTCAGCTCTGGTGTATTTGTTCCATTTAAGTCTCCAATCTTCGTTGTCCGTATCTGTCCTTTTTTGTCTCTTTGTTTTCCACACGTCTTTCTGCTCTGCATTCAGAGAACTTCTCAAGATGGTGGCTGCAGCCTTGATCGACCTTTCTGCAGTTTGGATTCTGCTGTTTCTGCCTTCAATGCAGATTTCATTTCTGTCACCGGATTTTGGTTCCTTGTTTTCTGTATTTCAGCAGGCTGTATCATTTTGGAGTTTTCTCATATTTTATGGAAAACTCAAAGTGGACCTTTCCTTAAGCTTTCCTCTATTTTCTATGGCAATTTATTTCTAGAGGCATACTTTCCCAGCATTGCCCTTAGAACTGACGGGAGGAGCCCCGAACTGGACCCAGTGCTTTAGAGTACTCTGCACACAAAGTATTTATTTTTAAATAAGTTTATTAATTTATTTAAGGACCACAGTGTGCTCTGGTACTCAGGATCCGGCGCTCAGCACTGGCACAGCAGGACCTAACCCTACACACCCACTCTCTTGACTAATAGTCTTCAGGCCCTGGCGAGATGCTCCTTCCTACCCTACCCTGAGTCCTACTGCGTGGAAACGTTTAATGGAAGCTTAATGGGGCCGCCACTAGATATTATTTCGGAGTACAAAGAGGCTTCGAGCAGAAAAGTATTTGGTAAAAGACAAATGAACTAACTTGTCAGATCTTTCCTCTCAGTCTGCATGCAATGGACTTGAGCACAATGAAATATCACTTTCTAGTGGTTCTGAGTGTACAATTTCTTCCTGTTTTTATGTTTTTATTCATGGTTCCAGGGGTACATGTAAATTAGTCCAGTATTTGCCTCAGTGGTAAATGGAAGCTGAGGGAATTTTTGCAATATTACGTGAATCACATTACGCGTTACTCTTACATTTGTATATGTGTCTAGATTTTAGACATAACATGCTATTGATTCTTTACTTTGGCAATGAGATGGGCATTGACTGCTAGAATTATGAATTTTAACATTTTTATTTAAAAAGTTACTTAAATTTTAAATTAAATTTATAATTTAAATACAATTTAAGTTAAATTTTAAAATTAAAGTTACTTAAAATTTAACTAAGTTTTCAAAGAGTAGAATAAAATGTTTGGATTTATGTCAATAATTTTGATATAAAAATTTGATATTCATTAATTCTAATTTTTATTTTGCCTTTTGAATTGTTAGATACATTTCAATATGTTAAAAAGTTAAGTTTGGAAAACATATTGGAAAAATGCATTTAAAAATTTTTACATAGGGGCTGGCTCTGTGGCCAAGTGGTTAAGTTCTCGCGCTCCGCTGTGGCGGCCTAGGGTTCGGACCCTGGGCGTAGACATGGCACCGCTCCTCAGGCCACGTTGAGGCGGCGTCCCAGATTCCACAACTAGAAGGACCTGCAACTAAGATATACAACTATGTACAGGGGGGCTTTGGGGAGATAAAGCAGAAAAAGAAAAAAAAGATTGGCAACAGTTGTTAGCTCAGGTGCCAATCTTAAAAAAAAGAATTTTTTTATATAAATTTATATTTTTGATGAAAATATATTTAAATTTTTGTACCTTGCATATAACTGTTTTTAATCCTTAAATATATTTTTAAATCTTGACAATAACATAATTAGTGATTTTACTGAAAGAAAGAAAAATGAATTTCATGGAAATAGTTATAATCATTTATGAATTATGTATATATTTGTTATTCATCCCAGCATTATCAGCTCATTAACAGAGCACCCAGACGTGCGCAAAAAAATTGAATTCAGTCATCTTTGACATTTTTCTTTCAGTCAGATACAAACCATAGCTTCATACACACTTCAAAATTTTATCCCTTTAAAGGAATATTTGTCAGAATATGAGGACAGAACATATTTTATTTAGCAGCTTGTTAGTTTGGTTTCTAACTTGTAAATATTTAGGCAGATGATCAGTGGCCTCCACTGGCCTCCTCGCCCCCAGCTGTGACACCCAGAATTTATTCACAGGCCCCAGGTTGGGTTTTCCAGTTCCTTGAATGAGTGAGAATCCAACCAGGGCTCATGTCTATCACAGTTGGGGGGGTGGGGGAATAGAGGGTCCCTCTGGTCCCCCTTTGAGTGCTGACATCATCCCCTCTAAGATTGTAAGCTGCAGAGAGACCCTCCCTGGGCCAAATTCCCAGCGTGTGGTCCTGGGCTATGGACGCCTCTCCTTCCGCCCAGGACTCTAACAGTACAGACGAGTTTATCTGAGGCAGCTGAGGCAGCTGTGGATTTTTAGCCACAAACAGTACCTCATTAAGTAGTACCCCAAGAATGCCTTCCTCCCAGGGTTCCACCTGCACCCGAGCTCCTGCTGGCTTCCATCCCGAGATGCAGGGTGCTGCTGCCCTGCTGGGAAGAGAAGTCTGGAGGGGGAGGGTCTGGGGCAGCGCCACCCGCTTAGAAAGCTCTTCCTACTTTCTCTCGGACCCTGCCACGCCAGAGCTACCACCAGTAACAAACCTTTCTCTTGTCTCCTCTTTGCTACAGTTGGTGGAATGTCTCTCAGACTTCTGGTGACTAAGGATACTAAGATACGTGGCCTTCATAGGGGAGGAGACACGTTGTCAGGTCACCGTTCCACAGATGGTTAACCCCGGGCTGACTCTCCTAGGCAGGTCTCTTGTGGTTGCAAGTGACAGAAACCCAACTCGAACTTGTCTATGCAAGAAGAAACATTTATTGAATCACAGGATTGCAGTAAGGGCAAGAGTGTGCTTAGGCCTCAGAAAGAGTGGACTCTGGGACTGGAATCCTGTCTGGACTCTGCTCCCTCTTCAAGGGGCTTATCCTCTCAGATGGGCTGTATGCACAGGATTCCAAACTGTTGGCCTCTCCCCTGAAGGCTCCCCGTGAGAAGCTGAGCTGCTCCACTTAGTTTCAATTCAAAATATACTGCTTGGGACTTAGGCACACCCTGTCACCTGGAGGGCAGGGCCTTGTGACGGGCGGCTCCCTCTGAACCCCATGGGGAAAAGAGTTTCCCCAAAGGTGGCACTGTTCCCAGAAGGGAAGGGAGGTGGGCAGACAGAACAACCACTGCTCTCTACCCTGTCCCACCCAGTGGCCTTCATCACAGTTGTCACCAGTCCTTCCAGGCCCATCTACCATTTCTGCCTGAAGCTTGGATAGGCCTCAAGACTGAGCCAACTTACATGGTAAAGACTAGAGTATTTCCAGGAGAGTGATGACATCACAGAACTGGGGTTCCAGAAGGCAGGGGTGGCCAGGCACCCCCACCTTCTTTAGAACATGGTGAGCTGTGAGTTGGGTGGGGCTAGGCTATAGTTCATGAGGAAGAGGTGGCTCCTATCTAAACAGCTTTGTTCTACAGATTCTCACAGAGATCCCTGGGCCGGCTGGGACCTGGGTTCAGAGAGGGACGGGAGAGAGGTAAGCTTCAGAAAGGGAGAGGGGAATGCACCTGCCAGAACCACTGTCTTCTCCAAGGAAACCCCAAGAGGGGACTTCACGGGCAGAGATGGAGCTCCCCACTTCCCGAGGTTCGGTGACACCTGTCTCTGAAGGGACCTGCTGAGTCAGGGCAGAGGAGGGTTGCATGAGACAGACTTACACTAAAAATTTGTTTGTCTGAAATCCCAATGTACCTGGGCATCCTGTAATTTAATTTGCTAAATCTGGCAACTCTAGGGTACGAGAGAGCTGCAAAAGAATGGTTGCAAGCTCAGGCTGGCGTGGAGGAGTCTTAGGAGAGAGAACAAAAGATCCATGAGAAAGCAAGGCCATCAGGGCAGCCATCTTGTTCAAACAGAAGCTGCCTGGCTCAGGAAGCTGGTGGATGGAGGAACCCAGGGCCTTGCCCTCAGGAACACATATCTAGTTTAAGGGGAAACATACATACACACACACACACACACACACACACACCCCTAGTGACAGAAATAGCCCCATCCTTTGTTTTCATGGCATTGACCATTCTGAAGAATATAGACCAGTTACTTGATAGATTTTCCTTCCATTTGGCTGTCTCTGATGTTTCCTTGGGATTAGATACAGGTTATGCATCCCTGACAAGAACACTACATAAGTGATACGGGTCCTTCTTGGGGTATCACATCTGGAGGGGGTCACATCACGTAATGTTTCTCTGTCCCTCATTGGTGGCCTTAAATTTGGATTGCAAGGTCAAAATACTGTCTGGTTTCTCCACAGTGTAGTTACTGTTTTTCCCATGCAACCAATATGCAATCTGTGGAGAGATACTTTAAGACCATGTACATATCCAGTTCTTCGTCAAGCTTCTCACCACTTCAGATTTAGCATCCATTGACGATTCTTGCTCAAACCAATCTATGATGGTTATGATGTGGTGATTTTCCAGCTCCGTGACTACCTCCACATTTGTCAGTCATCATTTCGTTGTCAGGAAGAGCTCACCCCTTCACGCCCATTATGTTTCTATTTATCTGTTTATTGCTATTATGAACTTATGGATTCCTATCTCATTCAATGGATTATAATCTGTTACTATCATTATTTATTTTGATGATGAAATTGTCCCAGATTACCTTGGAAAATTATGCAATGGTTTCTCAGATACAGCACCAAAACTATAAGCAACAAAGGAAAAACAGACAAATCAGTCTTCATCAAAATTTAAAACTTTTTTGTTTCAAAGAACACCACCAAGAAAGTGAAAAGCAACGCACAGAATGTGAGAAAATGTTTGCAAATCACATATCTGATAAGGTTCTAATATCCAGAAAATAGAAAGAACTTCTACAACTCAATAATAAAAAGACAAATAACCCAACTAAAAAATAGCAAAGGATCTGAATAAACATTTTCCAAAAATATTCAAATGGCCAATGAGCACATGAAAAGAGGATCAACATCATTAGTCACCAGGAAAATGCAAATCAAAGCCGCAATGTGATACACTTCACACTCACTAGGATAGCTTTGACCGGAAAGACAGATATTAACAAGCGTTGGTGAGGATGAGGAGAAATTGGAACCTTCATGAGCTGCTGATGCCAGTCTGGAAGTCTGGCAGTTCCTCAAAAGTTTACACATTAAGTTACCGGCAATTCCACTCCTTGGTATAGACCCAAAGAAATGAAAACACATGTCCACACAAAAACTTGTACATGAGTGTTCAAAGCAGCATTGTTCATAATAGCCAAAAAGCGGAAACAGCCCAAATGTCCACAAACGGATGAATACATGAACAAATTGTGGTATATCCATACAATGGAATATTATCCAGCCATAAAAAGGGACAGAATACTGATACATGCCATAACATGAACGACCCTTGAAAACATTATATTAAGTAAAAGAAGCCAGACACAAAAAGCCACATATTGTGTGACTCCTTTTATATGAAATGTTCAGAATCGGCAAATCTGTAGAGATAGAAAGTAGATTAGTGGTTGCCAGAGACAAGGGAGGCGGAGCGGGAGTGTCTGCTAACGGGTACAGGGTCTGTTGTGCTCCATGAAAATGTTCTGAAGTCAACTGTAGTGATAGTTGCACAGATCTGCAGATAAACTAAAAAACTACTGTACACTTTAAATGAATTAACTATATAACATATGAATTACAAATTGTGAATTGTATCTCAATAAAGCTGTTATCCAAAAAATGTTATTCCAGATTTGGCCAGTGGGCATCCCTCTGAGCTGGTCTCGTGTTCATTTGACAGGGCCCAATCCGTATTTTGAGTACTTTCTTCCTTTCTGGCACAAAAAGATAATCCAAACTTACCTCATACCCTTTCCTATTCCAGCCTAGGAATCACCCAGTTTCCCAAGAGTTCTGGTTCCCATTCGGAGGAAAAGTGAAACCAAGATCTGGGCATTTATTATCTCCTTTAATCATCAAGACAACCCTATTAAGTAAGTATTAGCCTATCTTCATTTTACAAATAAGGCCCAGAGAGGTTAAGTATGTTGTCCAAGGTCATACAGCAACCCAGCCTTTGAAAGCAGGCAATGCGAATCCAGAGCCCTTGCTCTTCACTGCTTCCCCTACACACACACCCACAGAGTGTGGAAGTGAAGGTTATTTCTACAACTAGATCACTCTTAGGGTAGACCTTATAATGAGCCCACCAGGAATTGCACAGGCAGAGTATGCCACCGGGAAGGTGACGTGTCGTGGGTCTGGAGGTGTGGGGTTGGGGGGATCAGCGTCCAGTGCGTAGCCCTTCCTCTGAAAGCACGTGCCCTGTCCTTGCGAGGACACACACACACACATCCGAGTGAAGAGTGAAGTCAGTGCTCACCAATCTCCCTCGCCAACCCCACCCCCACCCTTGTACCCAAATGCTGTGCCCATTACAAGAAGGGAAGAGGGGTGGAGACCGACAGATGAAAGGAGATTGGCCTTGCTTTTTAACTGGTGAAGCTGGGCAAGGGGTACACGGAGGTTCATGACAGTATTCCCGCTCCTTTTTGTGAATGTCTGCAATTGTCTGTAGTAACAAAGTATTTATAAAACAAGAAATGAGAGGAAAAAGACTGGAAGCAGCCAGATGGGGAGCAGTGAGTGAGCGAGGACATTCGGCTGCTCTCTCTGGATTCCTCAGGCTCGGGAGAAGCCCAGCAGGAAGTCTGTGAGACCCTGAGCCCCACGGCCGCGACCGCACCTCCCGCGCCCCGAGGATGGCGAGGGCGCTGCTCCTCTCCCTGGTCAGCTGCCTCGCTGCCGTGAGTCAGGCCAGCCTCATCAGACGCTGTGACTTGGCCAAGGTGCTGCACGAGGAGGACTTGGATGGGTTTGAGGGCTACTCCCTGAGTGACTGTGAGTGCCCTTCCTCAGCCGCCACCCCCGTTTCTCCTCCTCTCCTGGTTGCGCCCTCGGCGGCCATCTTTCTTTCTCTCTCATTCATCGTTCAAAAAGCAGCCCTCTGCAAGAAGCCTTCCCAGTATTCCATATTCATTCAACAATTATTAACTGAGCCCCTCTTGTGCACCAGGGATGGTTTTCTGCGCTGAGGATGGAGACATCAACAAAGCCCCTTCCCTCATAGTGTTCACATGCTGGGGGAAGAGAAGAGCAATAAACACACACAAATTTATGAAGTCTTTCTTGGTGGTGATAAATTCTCTGCAGAAGAATACAGCAGGGGGAGTGATCAGTGACGCTGTTGTGGAAGGGGAAGTCAAGGGAGGCCTCTAGGAGGGGGTGACATTGAGCAGCACTGAATGAAGTAAAGGACCTGGTCACCCAAATATCTGGGGGAAGAGCATTCCAGGCAGAGGGAACAGCCAGTATAAAGGCTTCGTCCTACTCCATGGTAGGGATATCTCCCTTTGGCCCAGAATTTGTGGACACCTGTCTTACAACACTGTCTCCTTTTATCTTGCTCTGTGGTTTTTTTAGGTACATATCTTCATTCTTGTACTATAGGCCCCTTGAAGGCAGCAACTTCATTTGACCCAGCTAAATTCCCTCACTGGGCTTTGCACAGTTCCTGGCACACAGTAGGTGATCATTAAGTGCAGAAAGCATTGACAGACAGATGGACGGATGAGTGATTGTACTGATGGGTGGGTGGATGGACCAAAGGATGAGAGAAGAAGATAAGGGGTGTTTCTAGCCCACTAGCCCATCTAGCCTCTTAGGCCTTGTTCCTGTCGTCTTCTCCCTTTCTCCTCCATCTCCCTTCTCCCTCAGCTTGGCCCCTTCTAAAAACCCTCTTCTCCCTTTTCTAAGGGCTGTGCCTGGCTTTTGTGCAAAGCAACTTCAACATATCAAAGGTAAATGAAAATACAGATGGCAGCTTTGACTATGGCATCTTCCAGATCAACAGCCACTACTGGTGCAACGATCACAAGAGTCATTCAGAAAACCTTTGCGACGTGGACTGTCAAGGTCTGGCCTGGGCCCCAGGGTGGGAGAGGTGAGAGAGATGACCAGGCTCTACTCACAGGACCTCTCTTCCCACACACAGTCTGGGAATGTTCCCGGGGGATGGCAAGGAATCAGGGAATCGCTTTACTGAGCAGAGTGTTTGACTAGTGGCCCTAATGACCATCTGGTTAGATTTTGCAGTATCCTCGAGCAGGATCCAGAAAGCTCTGCGCAGCTGGTGGTAGTAGAGAAGTGGCAGCAGCCAATGTTTATTGAGAGCATATTATATACTAAGCACTTTATGTGCATAGCTCATTTCATCCAACTTTCTATGCAGTAGAAACTAGTATGATTCCCCACTTTACAGATGAACCAACTGAGGCTCATAGAACCACTGCCGAATGCCAGACTGGTGGCCCTGAAGGCTCAGCTGTAACCACTTAGCAGTACTGTCTTTGGCTAATGATCTGATCAAAGGCCTAGAGAAAACTCCCCACCTCAGAGCTGATCCAGGAGGCTTCACAGGTCCAGGAGCTCCCCTTACCTCTGAGTAATGTCCCTGGGCTCTTCGCCTGAAGGGCCTCCTTCATTAGGCAGGACTTTACCCCGGTCTCTATGCTGCCTGTTTGGGCATTTCCTTTCCCTAGAAACCCCTCAAGTCAGTCAACCACCATCTGGGCGAACCACCATCTGTTCTGGCTAGGACCCAAATCTCAGTCCTCCTGCCTCTCCTCCACCCCGCACCCCGGTCACTCCAGCAGCCACTGTAGGGATGTCTAAACCGGCCGCTGGGAGAGAGGCCCTGCCTGATGGGGAAGCAGTCAGCTCCTGGGCAGCCTGTGCCTGTGCAGGGAGAGCCAGCGTCTGTCTCAGCCACTGGGACTCTCCTCTGTGCTCTCACAGCTGTTCTCCTTCTCCCTTTCAGAGTTGCTGAGCCCCAATCTGCTCTCGACCATCAACTGTGCAAAAAAGATCGTGTCCAGTGCAGGGGGGATGAAGAACTGGTGAGGGGGACACTCGGGAGCTAAGTTAGTGGGCAGAGCCCCAAGCAGGATGTGGTGACAGAGAAAGGGACAGTAGGCAAGGACCACAGCCTTTCTACAGTCTGGAACAGTATGGGAGAGTGGCAGGGCTTGGGCCTCTGACTTAGAAGACCTGGGAGCTGGTTCTTTTTCTGTCTTGTATTAAACAGAACTCCTTTGGTTGTAGTAACAGAACAACCTGAGCTAGCTCAGGAGCTTTATCCTGAGAGGACAAGGTGTCTGCTGAGCCCACCCAAGGGGTGCAGCTGGGCCTCGGGAAGAGAATGGAAGCAGGCCTGGAAACTGTCGGCCAGCTTTCCCTGGCAAGTTTCTGCTTCTCTTGGTGCATTTGCTTCCCTACTCCCCCTGCAGACCCGCTGTCTCTGCCCCGCAGTCCTCAAGACAGACTACGCTGCCCTAAGTTTATGGGCCAACATCCTAAGCAACCATAGAGACTGTCTAAGCTCAGACCAGTCCACGTGCCTGGGGTAGAGAATCTGATTGGTTCCACTTGGACCCCAGCTTTGTGTCCTGGCTTGCCTCAGTCAGCTGTAGGCGTGGGAACAGTTAAGCAATGCAATCATGGCTTCCACTGGGGCCCACTCTCTATAACTGGCAGCAATATTTTCTATAAAAACTGTGTTGCTCATCAGCTGGGCAGACACCCCCAAAGCTGTCAGCTTACTAATAGTGGATGTCGGGATGGTCACTTAACTTTTCTGAGCTTCAAACGGGATATACAAATAATATAAATGGCTGCCTCTACAGGCGACCGCGAGGGTGGAAGGAGTTAAGTACTGTGCATACTCTAAAAACACAACGCAACAGGAGGGACATGGAGGGAGAGTCAATGGTTACACCTGGGACTTTTTTTTTTTTTTTTTTTAACCAACTCTCGGCCCTGTACAACAGTGCTCTCCCCCTGCAGCGGGAGATGAGGATTTGAAAATGTGGGAGCATATCGAATGGGGAAAGAGGGGAAACCCTACAGATAAGGGAAATTTAAAGGAAGAATCAGAGAGGCCACAGGAGCACAGATCAGAGAGCTAGGAATGAAGGGGATTCTGGGCATTGCTGTGGAAGATGCACTAAGAGCTGGGTCACGTGTGTGGAGAAGCAGCTACTAAGTAGGAAGCAAGAAGCAATCTTTTTTCTCTCCAAAGGGTAGGATGGAGGTTGCACTGTTCGGGCCGGCCGCTCTCCTACTGGATGACAGGGTGCCACCTGGGGTGAGACCGTGTGCAGGACTGCTGTGGAGTCAACCCAGAACTCCTCTCTTCGCTTGGGAATTCTTCATTTCTTCTTCCTCCTGCCTCCCTGTTATTTTCTTCCCTTCCCGTTTACAAATAAAACTAACCAGAGCCCCAGGAATAAATGGTTTTCTAGGGCTTTCTCCATATTTCCATCCAGGTCCAGGACCCTGGTTCCTGACATTTGCAAACCAAGAGGACCACCATGACAAAGTTTCTGTATTTTTGGAATTATCAAAGCATTCCTTGTACGAAGAATGTGTTAATTTATTCATGATTAATTCCACGTATATTTGAGTACCTATTATAGTAGAGCGTGCTAGGTACTAGAAGAAGAAAGATCACACGTGACTATTGTTCTGGAGGTCAGGTGGAGGAGCAGAGATATACATGAAAAACAGATACAATGAATGAATGGATACATACAATGAATACAATGGGTAATAAAATCTATAATTACTGGTTTGAAACAGTATCAGGATCTGAGTAATTCCTCAAAAGCCAACTATTTTTGAAGTAAAAGAGAAAGCTCAGAAGTAGATAATGGGTGGGACTAAGGATCTGGTATATTGAGGTGGAGAAAGTATTGGTCTTTGAGAAATGGTACCAGGTGCCATTGATTTTTGGGGTGCTTGGGAGAATGGGCTAGAATCTAGGTAGGATGTGATTTGCTTGGAATGAAAGGTGCTGGTGTGGAGTAGAACCTGCTTAAGGACATTGCAAAGGCATAAAACAGGCAGTTGGAGCGTTGTCCTGTACCTTCCCTCTCATCAGGCCTGCCTGACTAAACTGGGGTGTTATCTTGGGCCATGTGTGTCCCTACCTGTGAACCTTAACTGCCTCAGCTGTAAAATGAGAGATTTGACTAATCGATGATTCCCAGACTTCTGGATTTCATAGACTAGTAAACTGTCAAAAAGATTAAGACCATAAGATTTCCAACCTTTTAGTTTAATGCCCAAGTAACAGTATTAATCAAAACAACTGTCCTCTATCAGCATCTCTTGACAAAACCATTTTTAGTATCAAAATTGAAGGAAGATCATACTTGTAGGATAATAAAATGGAATAGATTTGTGAAAAAAATTTTTTTTTAACTCTGATTGTATTGTCTTTTTCCCATTTTGCGAAAGACTGATGAAAACTTCATCACGGACCAGCATGGGTCTGAAGACCATTGTTTAGAGACCTCAGGAGACCTGTTTTGTAAGGTCCCTTCCGGCTCTAACATTCTAAGATTAAGCATCTTAGGACCTACTTTCCCTCTCAGTGTTACTCTGCAACACCGCTAACAATCAGGGCTCCTAGAACAGCCCTTGTCAGGACCATGAGCTCCAAAGTTGTTGCCCTACTTGGACACACTCTTTGATTTTTCCAAATTTCTCTCTCCTTCTCACCCTGCCTCCCAACCTCCCACATCATGCCACGCCTGAAAGCACACATACACAATACACCAGAGTCACTTAGGATAGTCAGAGAATTCTTTTTAAGGATTTCATGCTAGACTGTTAATGGCTTAACGAGTCATACGGTAATTTGCATGTTTAAAATTCATGAAAACATTCTAAAGTCAAAGGATTGCATCTTGAGTAGTCATTTCCCACACCGAGTCGGGAAATCTAAAATTTCAAAGTTCTGTAGATAACTACCACTAGTAGTACTCTGAGTCTTCTCCAGGAGGGTAAATGAAGCCGGCTGCTATGGAGGGGTCCCTACCCTTCGATCCTGTAAACTCACCCATTGGATTCTACCCTAAAAATACCCGGAAAATACACTAAGCTCTGTGACATTGGGGCAGTGGGGCTGCAGGAAGGGGAACTAGAGGTGGGGACCCGCTGGAGTGGGAGGGGCGAGGGGCGATCAGACACCGCCCTCGCCCCACCCCCTCCAGGAGGACCCCGCCCCTCGCATGCGCCCCTTTTAAAAAAGCGCGGGCGCGCCTTGCGCAGGCGCACTGCCTCTCGAGCCTTAGCTGCGCACGCGCAGTGACGGTAGGATGGCGGAGTTGGTGCCTTTTGCGGTTCCCACTGAGAGTGACAAAACCTTGCTGGTGTGGGAGCTGAGCTCTGGACCCACGGCCGAGGCCTTGCATGTGAGCCCGGCCTCGGTGGAGGGTGGAGGGTGGAGGGAAGGATGGAGAAAGCCGCCCCTGGTGGCTGGGAGTCCCGGAGTCCTGCCTTAGCCCCTCACCCGCCTTGTCGTCTCCGCTGAGGACCCTTAGTTCCAGAGGGGACCTCCGGTGTCAGCTCGCCCCAACAGGTTTCTGAGAGGTGACTCTCAACAGCCAGCATGTGTTGCCTTCTCATGCTTCTCGAATCTTCAGATTTCAGAGGGAAACTTGTTGATGAAAGGAGGAGTGTTCGCGTTGCACGCTCTCCCCAGTTGCCTGTGGAGAAGGGCTTGGGGAAGAGAGGGAAACGGGCAGTTTTGTTTTCTGGGCGTGACAATCCGTGCACTTACCTGGCGGGGGACCCCCCACAGCATTCTCTGTTCACAGTGTTCTCCCAGTTTGGCCTCCTGTATTCGGTCCGAGTCTTCCCAAACGCTGCGGTGGCCGGTCCTGGTTTCTATGCCGTTATCAAGTTTTATTCAGCAAAGGATGCCCACAGAGCCCAAAAGGCGTGCGACCAGAAGCAGCTTTTTCAGAAATCTCCGGTGAAGGTGGGTCCAAATAGGGCATTCCTGGCTCCGCTGGGGTGAAGCGCTGAATTCGGTGATAATACGCCAGCATTTGTACAGCTCTCTGGTTCACAGAATGCTTTCAGATGCGTTGCTACCCTGATCCTCTTGTCACCCCCCCCCCTTTTTTTTAGATGAAGAAACTCGAACTCAGGATGGTTAAGTGACTTACTTAAGGTTCATGACAATAGCTTGGAAGCTAGAGGTCAAACCCAAACTTACTGATGTTAAACCCCGTGTCTTTTTTTTTTTTTTTTTTAAAGATTGGCACCTCAGCTAACATCTGCTGCCAATCTCTTTTTTCTTCTTCCTCTCCCAAAGCCCCCCAATGCATAGTTGTACGTCCTTCTACTTCCTCTATGTGGGACACCGCCTCAGCTTGGCTTGATGAGCAGTGTCGTGTCTGCGCTCAGGATCCAAACCTAGGAAACCTTGGGCCACCGGAGCAGAGCATGCAACTTAACCACTAGACCATGGAGCGGCTTGTAAATCGCATGTCCTTTTATGCTGCCTCTTAATTTTAAAAATCTTCACAAGAAGAGTTTTGCTTATATTTAGTTTTGTGTGGATTTAAATGTGTGAGCTTGACAAACTCTTCTGTTAATTGTAACATTAAAGATACTTCAGCAGCAGGAGCATTACTCTCAAACTACCTATTCAGAACTCCTTTCAGTTCTCAGAAAACAGTTAAAACATTACTGCATTGTAGAAACCTTATTCCGTACTAACATGCCCTCCAATTTTACTTTTCCAAAGCCTCAGAATTCTATTTTATATGCTTTAATGCAACCACTATTCCCTTTTCAAGGGTCATTTCAAATCCTCTGAATAAGAGTGAGGCTTAGATTTCCCAAACCTTTCACTTTATAATTGTGTCTTCATAAGCCTTCTCTGATTGCCGTCTTGATCTGGCTACTTCCCGCCGATCTTGCTGCCTGTTCTTACCCATATTCCTTTCCTCAGTGAAGTAACCTGGATCGAATCTGAGAACTTTCTTCAGGTGTGACTCCAGGTGTACCACCTCCACTTCTGTACCCTGTTTCAACACCCTCTTCAACCCTGGCTCCACTGCGTGTGATTACCTGTCAGACATTCTTTAATTTGCAGACTATGATCTACCTGCTTCTAGTCTGTGACCATTTCACACAGCCACTCAGATGTTACAGATGGTGCTGGAAAGATTATGATACAATTGCTTGGCATCACTTGTGAGTAATGAGGGGTTTTTTTCCTCTCATTGGATATTAAGACCATCTCATAAGCTTTAGGTTTTGAGATTTTCACAGCATAAAGCACATCACTGATAGAGTGGTGAAGGAAGTATTTTACAAGTTAATACATAGTTCAGAAGAGAAGGAATTCACATTAGCTTTCTTTCTTTATTTAACACAGAGCCTTGGGACTACCAGCTGCCCCCAAAATTGTTATCTAGTTTAATTATATGTTCTTTTATACTTTGGCAAGTACACATAGTTCCTGTCTTTTTTGCTTTTTATGAATACAGAAAAGAGAATAATGTCTTAAAATAAAATCAAGGAAAGGCCTCAGGCATCTGAGCGAGTTTTTTTCAGTAGCATGAAAGAAAATGGTTGCCAGAAGGAACAGTGGTGAGGTTATCCAAGGTGACCACTGTCTCTTCTACCCGGGGGCTCAGAGCCCTTCAGAGGCTTCCTAGTTGTTCAGAACAGCTCCACTCTGGCTCGCCGTATGGGCTAGCCTCCCCTGCCCCACTCAGCATGTAAAAATTAGTCTTCATTTCTCCTTCCCAGCAGGCAGCTTCAGGTGGAGAAAGTAATTTCATTTTCTTATTTACCCATTCTTTTCATTCATTCACTCAATCAACAGACCATCACTTCCCTATTATATGCCAAGAACTGTGCTTGGTTCTGGGAACGAGAATAGAATAAGATAGGGTTCCTTCAAGCACTTAAAGAGCTTATAAACTGGTGATAGAAGAAGATGCACAAACAAATCAAGAAAGAATTAATAATGCTTTGACATTATTTGAATTTTTATGGATATATTCATAAACTACACCCTGTTTAAAATTGAAATAGACGTTTAAAAAAGAACTAATAAGAAATCCACAGTAACGCATAAGTCATTTAAAGAGTTAACATTGGAGACATTTACGTTCTCAAAGAAGCTTGTTAATTCTTGTTAATGTTTTAGTTGCTTATAAAGTTCATAGAGGTATGTGTATGGCCACTTCTAACAGGAGTTAGTGACTTGGGGAGGCAGGTGCTGCAGATTAAGGTCCTACCTTAGTGGCAGGTCCATCTTATCTGCTCTTTAGGTCATATTCTCAAACAGGAGCTGGGGGATGGGACAACAGGTAGTTTACTTCCTTTGCTTACTCACAACCCTATAATTTGTGTCTGCAGGGATCCCTTAGATGCTTTCATTACCACTTTCACCACCAGAGGTCGGGGAAACCTTCTGATTAATCGGGGCCCTGGAAATGATGCAGAAAAAGTACTGTGGCTTAAAAATAATAAATAACATTTATTTAAGACTTACTATGAACTCATTTGCTTAAAATGCTGTCTCCTATTTCGTCTTCACAACCACTCTATAAAATTGGTATTGATAAATCTCAGGTGTGTCTAAAATAAATCTCTGTGGCAGGTTATGGTATTTCTACGTCTGTCTCATGTCTTTAGGTTCGTCTCGGCACCAGACATAAGGTGGTTCAACATCAGGCCCTTCCCCTAAACAGCTCCCGGTGCCAAGAATTGGCAAATTACTACTTTGGTTTCAATGGCTGGTCAAAGAGGATCCTTGAGGTACACTTTGTAGATTTTGTTTGACTAACCAGACTCTTTTCAACATTGAAATCCTAGACTTTAGAGAGAAGCATAGAAGTGGGTTGTGGGGAAGAGGTGTGGGAGATCTCTAAGTGGGAGTATCTGAGCATTGGCCTGCCACCCAGAACTAATAATCATCTCGTCGACTTGGGCGGTGGTGTCCATAATTTCCTCCAGGATTTGTATGGTGTATAATAAAGAATAGTTGTCTATATCTAGTAATTCGTTTGCAAGTCTTACTGGCTTTTGAAGCTGTAGGACACCTCAACTGTTAGCTGGGCTTGCTGGAGTTTAGTTTTTATTTTTAGCAAGAAAACACTTTGAAGTCTACATTGAGATCCTAAGAAGGACCTTGAATTCAAAATCCTAACAGCTTCAGGATCTTTCTGACACTGAAGAAAGGGGAAATGAAAATGGAAATGCCACAGGAGCAGGACTTCAGAAGCAAAGCGTCAAGTTCTTCTGTGCTTTAGAGGTGGTGGTGCCCTCGCATGAGTGCAGAAGCCCTGGCGCTGGCGTGGCTTGGGAGCCTTTGGACCAGCTGGAGGAGGGTCTGTTTCCAGGCAGGGATGGGAGGGTTGGGGTAACGGCGGCAATCTCTTTTTTTCTTTCTTTCTTTCTTTCTTTCTAAAACTTATCTCTTCAGGGCATCTTCAGGCCCTCCCCTTGCTAAGCTACTAAAGCACCCCCTTACAATACAGGTTTTTATCTTAGGCAATACGTGACAGAACCTCTAACTTTAAAATTTTAGAGCTGACTTCCTGCCAAGTAGCTTAGGAAGAGAGAAATCATGTTTTTCCCATTTTTGGTTACGAATTTTCTTTGTGCTAAAAGAGTCCTTCAAATATAGATCTCTTGTAGCCTTCAGTTATCCCAGCAAAATCATCATCTAAAGATTTCAATAAGCTCTTGTGTAAATGTTCAGTCCTTTGCCTCCTATAGAAGGACTTGAGTGGAAAAAGAGTCAAATGCCGACACCTAGAAAGGGTATTCCGATTGGTACTGAGTTTTTTCCCTAGAATCCATGGCACTCAGGCTGAGGGTTTTAAGTCAGAGACAGGGCTCTTAGCACATGAAGTGGTGTGGGCTCCCGAGGGTGATGCTCAGGGAGAGGCCAGCTCATCTGCACCACCGCTGTACCATTCCCATTGTGTGATTCCAGCCCTGGCTGCACAGAACAGGGTCCGTCGGAGTGCAGTTTCAACTTGGCCGTTTGAAATCTGTGAGCGTTGTGAGATGTGTACCATTTTCTTGGCTCACATCTCCCTTCTAGTACTTCAGGAACTTCCGGAATAGATTTTGGCAGTAAAAATGTGCCCTTTAGGATATACCTACAACAGAGCCATTCAACCATACCCTTGTGTTGTGCTTGCCCTTAGTCACTAACATAATGATCTAAGAATCATGGATGAATTTTTATTTTTAAACATAAAACATAAAAATCAATTTCATTCAGATAGGCATTTTAAATCCATTTCTTTTGGTTGGACTTAGGACCATTATCATTCCTTATGAAAAGGAAGACAACCCAGAAGCTTGCTATTCAGAAAGCTCTATCAGATGCATTCCAGAAACTGTTGATTGTGGTTTTAGGTAAGACTTTCTTGATTGTCCTTAAAGTACTTCAGCTTCAATGAACAAATAAACTCATTCTGAAAGGTTAATTGAATGAGAATAATGGATATCTGAAACACTCCATATTCTTTCATTCACCAAATGCTTTCACAGCAGTGGTCTCAAATTTGTTCTTTGAGGCATTTGGGAGAAAAATGACAGCAAATACTGTTGTCCTCAGTGTAGAGATGTAGATTGATTTGCCTCAGTTCACACTGAAAATAAGTGTTTGATCCAGTTCTTTCTCGGTTGCTTGCCTATCATACAGAATAGTATAATGATTACAAGCTTTAGACACCTGTGTTTGAGTCCTAACTCTGTCTCTTAGATTTTTTTATGCAATTCGAGGTTTTACAGCCAGAGAGATTTGAAGGTATTTAACATCTCTAAGCTGCAATTTCTTTATCTGCAAAATAGAGTTAGTAATTCAACTTGCCTTGTGGATAAAGAGTAAATAAGATGATGAATGTAAAAAGCTTAGAACTATGCCTGGAACATAGTAAGCAGACAAAATAAGTTAACTATTATCATTGTTTTCCTGTTGGAGAGTTTATTAGATTATGTTTTTGGAATCAACTCTGTTTCCGTTTTAATTTCTGGCACTGACATATTGGGTGAATACGATTCTTCTATAATTATCAGCTACGTTTTTGTGAGCCTTGAAAGTGGTCATACTATTGAATAGCATTGACTGTGTTCCCTATGGAGTTCTCCGGTGGTGTGAATGTTACAGGCTGTGCCCAAAGTAAACTTTATGATTAGTACAGTCCCTGAACAGAATTGCTCCCCTGCTTCACAACCCTGCAGCCTTAGAGATCGAGAAATCCTAGCTAAGCTGTCAGAGCCCTTATTGCTTGTAAGGGTTGACCCTGGATTGTTCTCGGCCTTCCAGCCTGGGTGGCCCTTCCGGTGAAGGTTGACTTCCCTAATCATCAGGTAGAATCTCCATCAGCTGTCAGCTCTGAGTAACAACCTTTAAGAACCAAACTAAACTTCTGGGTTGTTTACCGCTCCCTAATATGCTAAGGTATCCCTTGTCCACACTCAAAACTCCTGAGACGAGAAAGCCTTGTGTCCCTAGTTTGCCTTGAGGGAAGATGTATTGTCTATAAAGTACATGAGCCAGTTCTGCCAATAAAGTGTTCAAATGCTTGCCTGCTCTCTGTCTCTCCAAAGCTTTGTTCATTGTATCTTGTGGAACTTTGGTTCCCCGGGAGTAGACACTTGCCTTGTGTCTAATATGAAGTATCTACTGTAGTCCAATGGTCTCTATCCCAAGTTTGAACTCACTTTGACCCCCACCTAATGGCTTACTGTTTTTTTTTTTTTTTTTAATGTTATGATAGATTACAACCTTGTGAGATTTCAGTTGTACATTTTTGTTAGTCATGTTGTGGGTACACCACTTCCCCCTCCGTACCCTCCCCCCACCCCCCCCTTTTCCCTGGTAACCACCGATCAGATCTCCTTCTCAATATACTAATTTCCACCTATGAGTGGAGTCATATAGAGTTCGTCTTTCTCTGACTGACTTATTTCGCTTAACATAATGCCCTCGAGGTCCATCCACGTTGTTGTGAATGGGCCAATTTCGTCTTTTTTTATGGCTGAGTAGTATTCCATTGTGTATATATACCACATCTTCTTTATCCAATCATCATAATGGCTTACTGTTTAATCATTACGATCGAACATTTTTGTTTCCACAGTTTTTACTCCCTATGTCGTTATTCCTTAATTCCTATCTCTAAGTTCATAAAGTTTTTGGAACCAAACAAAATTGATACATCGTGTATATTTTTTCACAAATAGTTATGATAAAAACTGAAGTGTGAGATGAGGGAACTTCTAGGAAAATGCTCTTCTTTTCTGCTTTTAGAAATCAAAGGAATGTGTAATGATTGGGTGCTACCATTGTATACAGGAAGTTTTAAAAGAAGAAAAATTCTGAATTGATCCTTAATAACTTTATTTCAGAAAGTGGTAAAATAGCTGTGGCGTATAGACCCTGTGAAGAGATCACAGATGCCAGATCCGAAGAGGAACAACAGGATTTAATTCAAGTATGTGGAGACAGAAGCTGTAATTCAAAACAGCCAGCAGGATCTGGAAGACCTTGGCATGTACAGTCAGCAATGCCATCCTAGGAAAATGTGAACCTCTGAAACTACTTTTGAGGGCAGGGAATTTCTGGGGCTTTTCTTAAGGTCCTGGCCCTTGGCTTTGAGCCCTTATTTGCAGTTTAGAGAGCAGGCCTGAGGACCATCAGAGTACACCCACAGTTGTGGACACAGGCCTTTTAGGACTCCTCTCAAACAGGATCCCAGGGATGCGGGAACAAAGTAACTCTAGCCTTAAGTGTGATTATGCTGTAGCGTTTGAAAACTCTTACGTCTTTCAAATAAGATACTCGCCAGACCTCAGCATCTCATTTATCTTGTATGAAATATTTTGCGGAAGAACCTTTCTGTAAACCAATTATATGGATGCCCTGAATTAGGGATTAAGTTGCCAAAGTAATTTCTAAAAGAAAATATTAATGTACTACATATAGTACATTATGTACACATAGTACATTTGCTCCTTTTTATAAAAAAAGGAGCAAAATATGTGTTTCATGTCATTGAGAACTTAATTTGGGGCTAGATTTCTGATTATTTAACTCACCCCAGAGTTGCAAACTTTGAAGGGAAGGAAATAGAGAAAGAAAAGGTGATTACACTCTGAAAAAGTATTTGAAGATTTTTTTGTGTGCAAAATAATTATTTTAATCCAATTTAAATCAAACCAATCAAGGAAACTTCAAACTTAACAAAGTTTGGGCTTTAAGAATTTGAGCTTCCTGTGAAATGTGAGAGGAAGTATTCAGTATTGATGCTAAAGATTTCAGAAACCTGATTATAACAACAGATCCATCGCTAGATGAGGCTCATCTTGGAATCAATTCCATTTAAAAACCATTACTATGTGCTACACACTGGGAATAAAATGAAGCCCCTTCTCTCTTGGAGTTTAAGTGCTAGAGGTTGTGCCAGACAATAAACAAGGACTAAGATAAAATAGATTACGAAAAGGGCCATGAAGAAGTAGTAAACTGGGTGCTCGTTATAGTATTTCAAGAAAATTTTTTAACATGCTGACTTTTACGTCCTCCGTGTCTTCTCCATGTGTGCACACAGGGTAGACCTCTGACAAGGGGCATTGCTGATTTTTCTAGATTGATGGCTATGCTGAGCCACATTGGGAGGGGAGGAGTTTTCCCATGCCAATGTAAAGGGCTATTCACTTGGCTTCAGACCCTCTTTCCCAGAATGAATTGCTCATCCCTGCAAAACCTCTCTTACAGACGCGTTGGCGTCATTACCGATTCACTGGGAGCCCCTAACAGAGTGGTGAATTCATTATCACACATGGATACTGAGAGTTTAGAGGAAATGGCAACATTTTGGAATAACTGACTGTAAACTGTGCTCCCCTCCCTGCCACCCTAACTCGTGTTCATTTCGCAGGTCGGCTACTTTTCTTGGAAGCAGTATGGCCAAGGGGAGGAAGAATATCTCTCTGATTTCAGCTTTGAAGAAGAAGAGTTCAGATTGCCAGAACTGGACTAGCACTTTTGAATTTCCCGGGACGCCAGGCCCTGTGGCTTCCTTGGGAAGCTCTGCACCCCTCCCAACCCCCCACCTCCCCTAATCCTCCCATCCCCCCACCGCTGGGCTGCTGGAGTCCCCGGCCACCCAGGTCTGCAGCCCAGATCCTGCCTCTCTGTGAGGGGGGGAGAGGGGCCCAGAGGGAGGTAGTTGTTGTCTTTGCAGGGAGAAGAGAGGCTTGGACCCTGGTGGTTCTGAGAAAAGGGCTCGCTCTGGCGGTGCGGTGCCGATCTCGGCCGGAACTTAATAAAGGTTGCGTAAATAAAGGGTGCGACGTGAGGCGGGGGAGGGGCGCGCGGTTGCTAATGGTGCGCACCCGTCACCGGGCTGCCGTAACGGTTCGGCTCCCGCTCAGGGCGTGGCGCCTGCGCCCCACTGGCCTGGGTCGCTGCGCCCCGGAGCCCCCGCATGTCATGTCCCGGCTGCGCCTCTGGGCCCCACGGCTCCTCCTCACGTGGCAACTGTTGTGGCTGCCGGTCCAGGCATCTCATCCTCCGGAGTGGGCCCTGGACCCTATCCAGCTGACCTCCGAACCCCCGGGGCTGACTGAGCCCTGGTCTTCGCACTCCTCTAATCTCCCACCCGAATCGCCCCGTGCACTTACACCCCCGGCAGAGCCAGGGGGCCTTAATTACCTGGGGGCCTCTTCTCCAGCCCAGATGTTGGCATTGCTTCAGGAGTTGACTGAGACTTTGGTTCCATTCCCGGACACGGATTCAGCTGGAGAGCTGCCTCCAGGGCCAGATCAGTTTGCTGTTCCACATCAGGATCTGAATGATAAGCTAACTCAGCGTCAAAGGCTTCCAGAGGTGATTCCAATGCTAGGTTGGGGTCAGAATCAGGCCCTAGGTCTGCCTCCTCGACTCAAAAATCAGAAGCAAACTGTAGGTCTAGGTCAGGCTGGAGATCACCAGTCATTTGAAATACTGGTTCCACCTCTAGATGGTCAGAGTTCAAAACCAGCAAGGTTTATCGTTTCACCCTCAAACCTGAAGAAAGAGCTAGCTCAGCATCGACGGCTTGCCAAGATTGTTGTTGGAACTCCACACCAATTTGCAAAACAAACTCAGCATCTGGAACAACAATTGCAGGATGATTATTTAGATTCCAGTATGGAGAGCTTTTATCGTGAGGAGAACCAACCTATGGATTTCCTGGGGGCCCCAGATCAATCTGCAGAGCTTTCTGAGGAGGCTGAAGTTTCTCCATCCCTGCAGGAGGCCCAAACTCATCATCCAGAGACCCCTGAAACTTCGTCCCAGCATCCAGAGCCTGCTGAAGAGATAGAACCACTTCCTCTTGGGCAGCCCCTAGAGCCCCCCAAGGAAGCTGAAAATTCTGCAAACCCACAGGGGGCCCTGTCTACACCCCCTGAGTCTCCTGAGGAATCGAAACTGTCTTCAGTTCAGCAGGAGGCTCCAGCTGAGCCTTCAAATACTCTTGAAGAGGTTGAACCTGCTGAGCTTCAGCAGTCAGACTTCCACAATGTCACCGATAGGCCTGTGGATGTGGCACTTACCGTAACTCCAGAGGTGACTAAGGAAGTTGAAACTCCTCCCACCCAGCAAGAGGCCCCAGCTCAGCCTCCAGAGCTCCTTGAGGAGATTGAACTTGCTCCCAGCCAGCAGGAAGCCCCAGCCCAGCCCACACAGCCCCCTGAAGAGGTCCAGCCTCCTCCAGGTCAACAAGAGGCCCCAGCTGAAGCTCCAGAGTTCCCTACCATTGCAGCGAGTGGCGAGGCAGCAGTTCAACCTGCAGGTGAGGAGGAGGCTTATCATTCCAGCTTTCCCAACATTACACTTAAGCCTGTGGACGTGGCAATTACCATAACCCCAGAGCCTATTAAAGATGTCGAATCTTCTACAGCCCAGCAGGAGGCCCCAGCTCAGCCCTCTGAGCCTCCTGAGGAGATTGAACCTTCTCCATTCCCACAGGAGGCCCTGACTCTGCCTGCACAGCCTCCTGAAATGGACAAACCTTTTCCAGCTCACCAAGAGGCCCCAACTGAAGCTGCAGAGTTCCCTGCCATTCTAGCAAGTGATGAGGTGTTATCTCGACCTGCAGGTGTGGAGGAGGTTCATCATTCAGACTTGCCCACAGGTCCACTTGAGCCTGTGGACGTGGCAATTACCATAACCCCAGAGCCAGTTAAGAATGTCGAATCTTCTACAGCCCAGCAGGAGGCCCCACCTCAGCCTCTTGAGCGTCCTGAGGAGGCAGAAACTTCTCCAACCCAGAAGGAGGCCCCAGGTCAGTCTCCAGGGGAAGTAGAACCTTCTGCAACCCTGCAGGAGCAACCAGCACAACCTCCAGAGCATCATGAGGTGTCAGTTTCACCTCCAGGTCACCATGATGCTCAGCCTTTAAAGTTGCCCAATGTCACTGTCAAACCTGCAGATGTACAGCTTACCCTAACAGCAGAACCCACTACAGAGGTGAGACCTTCTCCAATTCAGCATGAGGCCCCAACTCTGCATCATGAGAAGCCTCCAACACAGCAAGAGGCTCCAACTCAACATCCAGAGCCCACTGAGGGGCTCAGACCTCCAGTCCAGCATGAGTATCCATCTCAGCCTCCAGAGTCCTTTATGAATGTTGCTCAACCTTCAGTATCTCCTGAGGTGACATTCTCACCTCTAGGTCTGGGTGAAGCTCAGCATCCACTGTTGCCTAATATCACAAGTAAACCTCTGGATCTGGAGGTTGTCGTTACTCCAGAGCCCACTAAGGAAGTCGGACATTCTCCAGTGTATCAGGAGGCTCCTCCTCAGTCTCCAGTTCCCCCTGAGCAGGTAGAACTTTCTCCAGCCTATGTCAAGCCCATTCTCCAGTCTCCAGAGTCCCCTGAGAAGGCTGAATCTTCTCTAGGCCAACAAGAGGCCGTAGCTCAGACTCCAGATCCCCTTAAGGAGATTGTCAAACAGGAGGCCCCAGCTCAGCCTCCAGAGCCACCTAAGGAGATTGTAGCACAATCTGCAGTCCATAATGAGATGACAGCTCCACCTCAAGAACAGGATCAGGCTCATAATTCAAGTTTGCCCAGTGTCCCTGTTACACCTGTTGACGTAGGGGTTGCCATAAGTTCAGAACCTACGACAGTGGTCGAACAGTCTACAGCCCTGCAGCAGACAACAGCTCCTCCAGATCACTCGGAGGTGACACTTGCACATCCAGAACAGGCTCAGGATCAGCATCCAAACCTGACTGGAGTCACAGTTCCACCTTTGGACACAGGGCCTACTGTAACTCCAGAACCTACGACAGAGGTTGATCAGTCTACAGCCCTGCAGCAGACTACGGCTCCTCCAGGTGACCATGACGTGACACTTCCACATCCAGAACAGGCTCAGGATCAGCATCCAAACCTGACCGGAGTCACAGTTCCACCTGTGGATGGGGAAGTTAACATAACTCAGCAACCAGGGTCGCCTGAGATAGCCCCTTTACCTCCAACAATTCCGCCTTCAGTGATACATCCTCCACAATATGCCATGCAACAGGCATCCGGAACTGAGCAACCAGAACAGAATCCCACCACACACATCAAGATCTGTGAGCTCTGTAGCTGTAAAGATGAGACACTGTCGTGTATTGGTCTCAGCCCAAAGCAAAAGCTCCGCACAGTGCCTGTGCTAGAGCCCCACGCCTACAATGGAACCTTGACCATCCTGTAAGAACCAGCTTTCCTCATTTGTTCTCTGCATCCTGCCTGACTGGGCAGCCTTTGCGAGGTCTTCCTGGGACTTCCTCGTCTCCCCAACCCACGTTGACTGACTGCCTGTTTTTACCTTTCATTTGTCAGCTGTTTCTTATCTTCATTCTCCTCCTTACTATTGTTCCCCCTTCTCCAGTCTTGTAATTGCCCTTATTCTTTTGCCTTATCCATTTTTTAAAGCCCCATTATTTCATTCCTTAACTTCTACTCTCTTCCCAATTTTGCTCCATCCTTCTTAAAGCAACATGTCCCTCTCCCCATCTCACTGGCGGTGATACAAGAAAGTGGTTAAGAATAGAGATTCTGGAGCCACACTGCCTGGGTTTGAACCCAGGTCTGTCATTTATTAGCCTTGTGACTCCATTTCCTCCTGTGTAAAATGAGGATTATGATATTTACCATCTCATAGAATTATTGTGAGATTTAGATGAGTTAATACAGGTAAAGCACTTATATCCCTGGCATATATACAATGTGTTAGCTATTACTATTATCAGATCCCTCATTTACGTCCAGAACTCATCTTTGTCCCAACTTTCTATATATATAGCACCCATTTTGTGCCCAACCCAGGGCTAAGTGCCGTAGGAGCCACAGAAGTATGACATTGTCTCCAGAAAATGACAATAATAGGTGGGAAGAAAGGGAATATGCGTAAAAAGGGAGATGATATATAATTAAGTACTAAAAGAGATACAGACCATGGTGATGTAATTCATTAGAATCTGTGATCACTGGGATGTGGAGGTCAGGAAAAACTGCATGGATAATCGAAAACTTTGGCCAGGATTTAAAGAGTGGCTATGATTTGTTGAATAGAGACAAATAGGGTGTACAGTCTAGGCAAAGCTGTGGCAGCAAGAATAATCAGGATTTAATAGAGCAGTGTGGCTATAAATAATTGGGTTAGGAAGCAAGGAAGATAAGACTATAAAATACCTTGACCATCAGCTATAGGTGTTTGAAAGTTACACTATGAGATATGGAGAGCCATTGAAGATTTTCAAGCAAGAGAGACAAATGATTAAAACAGGAGGATTATTTTAGATTCCACGTGTAGAGCAATCTAGAGAGGAGAGCTTGATTCAGGGAGACCAAATAGAATGCTTTAGCAAAATTTTAGAGTAAAGTGAGAAGGGGCTGAATCAGAGTAATTATGATTGGAGTAGAAAGAAAGCCCTGAGAATATGACAAAGGAAGAAATGACAAGGTTTAGTAACTGACTAGAGTTGGGGGACGGGGTGTACAGGAAAGAGAAAAACCAAATATGACTCTCACGTTTCTGTCCTGGATGATGAGAATGATGTTGGTAGAACAGGTGGAAATACAGCAGTTGGGAAGGAGAGCCCTTCTCAACACTTGAGGAAGATGAGTTCAGTTTCAGGCATTTTTATTAGTGAGCATAAGGGAACCAGGAGCCTTCTGGTTGAGTGGAAATGCCCACTAGGCACATGAGCAGACAGGTATTGGTTTTGACTTATTTCTGACCACCTCCCTCCCCCGACAAATGTGTATATAAACTGAATGGGTAAGTTGTTGCCGAGGGAAGAGGACAAAGCTACAGGTAAAGATTCCAAGTCATCCACCAACTTGGTGATTGAAACTGAACCTCAGGCATTTGACAGCTTTTAAACATGTGTAGTTCATAGACACATTCTCACTGTTTAAAGAACAACGTCACAGGTTTATATAGGACAAACCCCATCCTACCCTCCCTACCGTTCATAAATAACTCCTGTTACCGTTTTAGTGCGTGTCTTTCCTTCCAATCTCTTTCCTTTGCATTTTTCCCCTAAATGAGGTAATACTTTACTCCTTGCTCAGTGGTTTGTGCTTTTCCTTATGCAATATGTCTAAGAGATCTTTCCATATTAGTCCCTCTAATTTCAAATTGCCCTTATCCTTGTAACACCTGGAGAGATTTCCCCAGAGGGCACTAAGCCAAAGCTTTGGTGTTGCCTGGCATAGGGTTTCTTTATATTTATTTGCTGATAACGATAATTTCTTTGCCATTTTTCTGTTGAATTGTTTATAATTTCTCATTGATTTCTATGTGGAAGGAGTCATTTTAGACACATAAGTGATTTTGGAAAAACTACTTACACTCAAAGTAATTAACTGGTATTATCTATTCAAGAAATTGGACAGATAGGAAGTTCAGGTTCCAAGGACATGCCTCATTGTTTGCACCAGTGACCCCATATTATGTCTTTATTAATTGTGCAAACTGGGAAGCTGATAGCTGTGGAAATTAGAAAGCTGATATTATCTGCTTTTGAATATTCCTCACAAGGTTGCCATGTTTCTTTAACTTACTCTGTTCATTCTTTTCCAACCTAATTAAGGATCTGAACTGTGTTTCTTCACAGAAATTTCCAAGGAAACTATATTTCTTACATTGATGAAAACATATGGAATACATACCGTTGGGCTGAGAAACTGTGAGTATAATCTCCAAATACGAATACAAAAAACTAACTACATTGTAAATCCTTCTTGGTCCAGAATTTTGAGGTCAACATCTCTGAGAAAAGGTATTTCCCCCTCCATATCCCAAGTCAACCTCTATTAATTGCATTCTATGTTTGTTTTAAAAACTAAATTTGGCAGGTCTCCTTTAAAATAACTGAGTCAATTTAAACCTATTTTCCATTATGCAAGTAATAAGTGATTATATTCTCAATATGTAAGAATGAAATAACAGCTCCATTGAAAACCCTCCTTGTGCCCTTGTCCCCCACCCCTGAGGTAACCACTACTCTGAGTTTAGTATATATCCTTCCAGACCTTTTCCCGTGCATTTGCCTACATACATATTTACAGAGAGCAAAATAGGTTTGTTGTGTGATTTTCTTCCCTTTTTTTACATAAACAGTAACATCCTACAACTTGACTCTTACTTCATGCTATGTCTTAGATTTTGTTCCTTCCCTGTACATGGAGGGTTACCCCATTCACTTAAACTGCTGCATAATATTCCATAGTTTCACAGTTTAATAATTCCCCCACTGATGGATATTTAGATTATGTCCAGTTTTCTTGTTACATGCATTGCTGCAATGAGCATCCTTGTACATGCATCTTTGTGAACATGGGCAGGTATTTCTGTAGAGTAGATATCTAGAAGTGGAATTGTTGGGGTGAAGACTATGCAGATATAAAATTTTAATTGCCCTCAAAAAAATTGTGTCAACTTACACTCCAGTTAACTGGCCATGATAGCATTCATTTTCTCACACCCTTCCACTGCTGGATATTCTCCATTTTTTGGTTGATCTGATGGATGAATAAAAAAGGATCCCATCTTGGGGCCGGCCCGGTGGCCAAGTGGTTAAGTTCGCGCACTCCACTTAAGCGGCCCAGGTTCGGATCCTGGGTGTGGACATGGCATGGCTCGTCAGGCCATGTTGAGGTGGCGTCCCACATGCCACAACTGGAAGGACTCACAACTAAAATATACAACCATGTACTAGGGGGATTTGGGGCAAAAAAGCAGGAAAAAAAAAGGGGATGCCATCTGAGTTTGAATTTTTCTGATTACTTGTAAATTTAGATATCTTTATATATTTACTGAACAATCGTATTTCTTCTCTGAATTGTCTGTTCTTTGCCCATTTTCTGTTATCATTTTTTTATTGATTTGTGGAAAAAGTCAATTTAGACACATTAGTGATTTTGGAAAAAATGCTTATACTCAAAGTAACTGGCATTTTTCATGACAGTTTGTATGTCATATTGTTAGTTCAACTTAACGGACAAGTCATAAATGACTTTTGAATTAATAATAAAAGACAACAGTCATAGTAATCTAAAGATAGGGATTATGACCCCCCCTAAAATAGATCTCCCCTTAGTCCGATATCTTATTGGTAAGGATAAAATAATAGAACCGGCAAGTTTTTTTAATTTATGAATTTCTTAAATACTAAATAGAGTTTATATTTCCCATGATAGTATCTGACGTTGAGATTTATTTCCCACTTGTAAGAAAATTGAAAGTCATTTGGCACAAGAAATAAGTAATATAAGTTTCCTCTGGGGAGTGGAGACAAGGGTAGGCTGAGAGATGGGGAGGAGAAAAACTTTGGAATTTTGAGCCGTGTGAATGTTTATTACATATTTTTTAAAAATAAATTGAAATTTAAAAATTAATTTTAAAAAGCGTGTGTTTGAAAGTTTATACACTATAACATGAATCTGGTAAAGTTTGAAGATTTCTAAGTCAGCTTGAGATTTATACCTCATGAGGCAGAGGTTCCTAACTTGGGGTCACTGGTCTCCAGGGCAGGATTTCTTAACCTTTTTTATCCCTGTATATCTCTTTAGCCATCTGCAGAAGCCTATGTTCTTGGAATAATGTTTTTAAATGTATAATAAGTTAAAGTATATAAGAAAACAAAACCGATTATATTGAAAATATTTTTTTAAAAAATTAGTGATATAGTAATAAATATACTTCCCTTAACATGTTAAATAACAAGATATAGTGGTAGGTCTAATAACTATTATAACTTCAAGGTAGTGATGAGAAGAAATGCTATTTTGAGATACCTGCAACAAATACACGATATGAGAATATCTGTGATTTTTATTGGGGACCAAATTAGCTATCCTGTTCATCTACTGTGGTTTGCTGCCTGTGTTCATAATGGAAGGAAATGCTAATTTTATTTAAAGGTTTATGAAAATAGAGATGTAATTTTATTTCCCACCCAATTTTGGCCGCCTAAATTCAATCCATTCTATTCACGGGTCCTCTGCCTTAAAGGATGATGCCCAGTTGGAAATTGCATGCACACTTTTGCAGATAATGAGAAAGTGCACTTTTCTAGGGAAAGCGTTCATAGCTTTTATGAAATTCTCAAAGGGTTCTTGTCTCAAAGGATTGAGTCAAAATAAGTGTAGGGGAGAAGAAAGACTTTTCCTGTAAAGCTGTACTTATCCTCACAAATGCTAATAAATGGATAAGTTGTTTTAAATAAAAGCAGTTTATCTGAAAATTGATACCTGTCACTTTCTAAATTCATTTAACACATATTAATGGGGCATCTACTATGTGCCAGGGACACAGGCCCAAGAACAAAATAAACCAAATATCCCAGTCATCAAGGGGTTTACAAATATATAATGTAAAAATAAATATAATTTCATATATTGCTAAGTGATTTGGAGAGAGAGAAAGCAGGGGAAGTAGAGTATATCAATTCCAGAATGGCCTACTGTTTGTGTTATATGTGTAGTTAAGTCCAAAAAAGAAACTCTGAGCCCTCTCAGTTCCCTAGAAGTTACAGAGGTGGGGATAAGGATAATTGCCAATAATATAGAGTAAAAAATGTGTATGGTAAAATTCAGAAGATTGCCTTAGTGACAGGAAGTCTGGTCAGAAGTTAGACATGAATGTTTCTTAAATGTTAGTTCCTGCCCAGTTTTGATGTTTTCATGGTGTGAGAAAGTTTTAGATCTGGGTTTAACTCTGATTCTCTACAGTTTTAAAATTTTGCTTCAGTTAAAATGAATATTTGGAGTTTTACAGATGAATGCATTTTATTCCAATTAGTTGCTAATTTGAGGCTTTTTACAGTCAGCTTTTTTCTTTTTTTTTTTTCAGATTGGCACCTGAGCTGACATTGGTTGGCAGTGTTTTTTTTGTTTGTTGTTTCTTTTTCTCCCCAAAGCCCCCCAGTACATAGTCGTGTATTCTAGTTATAGGTCCTTCTGGCTCTGCTATGTGGGACGCTGCCTTAGCATGGCTTGATGAGTGGTGCTGGGTCCACACCCGGGATCCAAACCAGCGAAATCCTGGGCCACTGAAGCTGAAGTGTGCAAACTTAACCACTTGGCCATGGGGCCGGTCCCTAGGGTAATTTTTTAATGACTGACTCATTCTCAGTCTAAACTTTCCATATAGGTTGAATTTATTATTGTTATTTTAAAAAAATCTACTATCCTGTCATCCAAACACCTTCACAAAAAGAAACATCATTAATTTAAAATACATACTCTTAGGCCAGCCCCAGTGGCTTAGTGGTTAAGTTTGGCACGCTCCGTTTGAGCAGCCCAGGTTCAGTTCCCGGGTGCAGACCTATACCACTTGTCAGCGGCCACACTGTGGTGGCCGCTCACATACAAAAAGCAGAAGACTTCAACAAATGTTAGCTCAGAGAAGACAGTGCTGTAAACAGTTGAGGATCAGCCCTCATCTCTTCTCTGTCCTTAGTGAATCCTCATTGGTGTTTATATTTTTTGTTATAATTAGTGTATATAAGTTTGATTTTTATGTTGATTTTTTCATATACCATCATTTCATGTGACCTTTTTGTATATCATCTACAGTATACACATCCAGTTTTGTTATGTGGTATGAGGAGGTAGAGTTTTTTCCAGCTTTTTATAGTTATGAAAAGGGTTAGTATGAACATTGTTGGGCATATTGATTTGTTTTTTCTTTTTGCATCATTTCCGTGGAAATATGAAACCTTTACCTAACAGAGGTGAGAAAGCAATCAATCATAGTATCACCTGTTGACCATTCCCCCTTCACACATATTCTGACCATTACTGCTGTTTCTTCCATCATGGTGAATTTCAAATTGGGGTCAAGCTCTTTGATGCATTCTCAGGGCTTCAAGAGTTTTTTTGGGAATTAAAGGTTTTTTGTGTTTTTATTTTAATCCTCTTTTTTAAATGTGTGTAACTATATTCTGTATACTATAAACTACCTTATAACTGAGAACTGCCCTTGATTCCACTTGCAGAGTTTCCAGGTAGTAATATTTTAATTGTTATAGGCTATGATTAAGGAATTAAGCTATGAGATGGAATTCGTATAAACATGTAGCCAACAGACACTGTGAGGGAAAGCAGAATATTTTAAATGCAGAACTTGATGGAATAGTTTCACAAGGCAACATAGCATGTTCTCAGATCTCCAGGCCTCCTGAAGGATGTACAACTGTTAATATTACCCACGAGGAATGAGATTCTCCCAGGCAAGAGAAACTTAACCTTTGCCATCTTACAGAATTTCTTCAGTATTGGCTCTACCACTCCCCCCTTAGAGACACTGGCTTCCTGCTCATCAGGTGTAAGACATGGGTGCAAACCTCCCCCCCCCCCCCAAGTGTGTTCCTAGTCTTTACTGTGAGACTAGGTGAAGCAAAGGCCTTAACATTCTTTGGGCAGACCCAGCTGTCAGGCTTGTCTGTGGGTCATTCCTGTTCCCTTCATTCTGCATTCTGGAGAAATCATTGGCCAGATCTCTCAGTTTTCTAATACTTCAACTGTAATTTCTACTGCTCATATAGTGACTTTTTAAAATTAATGATAACACTTTTCATTCATATAATCTTGAGTTAATTCTTTTCACTGGATGCACTATCTGCTTACATCTGTCTGAGGATATTAATTATGTTATTCTAAAGTCCTCTTATGCTTTCTCTGTTAACTCTGATTCTTTGGCTGTAAGGTCTTACATTTGTTTTTGTTTTCTGTCCTTATTGGAGCTGGCTTTCTCACGTTGTGTGGTCATTCCCTAATGCGAATCATCTTTGCAGTTGAGATTCTACTGCTTCTGTTCTTCGGCCCCAGGGAACAGGTGAAATGAGCTTCTGGGGCTAAAGGATTCCCCTGAGAATAATGAAGAGGTGGGAGGTGCTTTCTGGGGGCTAGTCAGGGAGTGCATGCCTTCCTCCAGGGTCTGGGACCTTGCCCCCTTTCTAACACCAGATGCATTCCTGGAGGAAGACCACCTTTGCTGTCTGGTCCAAGGAGGAAAGATACGGCAGCACGCTGCAGGCTCCTTCTCCTGCAGCATCCCAACTATTCCCCCTGTGGGTAACCCAGGGCATTTCTTGTGGGGGAGCATTTGTGGAGCTGCTCCCACGCTTTGAGCTAAGGTTGTGACTTTTACATTATCTCATTTCTGTCATTCTTAGGGATTTTGGTGGAAGGGTGGAGACTTGGCATGTTTCAGTCTGCCAACTTGAAATAGCACAATTTCTTAGGAAAACAATTTTGTGCCCCTATAATATCCAAGAGAAAGTCAGGCAAGTTTATGTCAGGATAAAGTACAAGAATCTTCAAAGCAGCATTGTTTGTAATAACTAAGAACTAGAAAAATCTTAGTATCCACCAGCAGTCAAATGAATATATAAGATGTCGTATAGTCATATAATGGAATACTATTCATTAGGAACAACGCATGCCACATAAATAATCTTAAATTTTCTGGTAACCACTTAAAGATGAAACAGCTGAAATAAATGTTAATATATTTTATTTAACCCTTATGTCCAAAATATTATCATTTCAACATGTAATCGGTATATACATTATTAATAAGATATTCTACATTTTTTTCATACTGAGTCTTCAAAATATCCAAGCTATTGTCCTTTCTACATGTAATCAGTATAAAAATGGTTAATGAGAGAGTTTACATTCTTTTTTCCATACTAACTCTTTGAAATCTCAATTTGTTTGCTAAATTTTTATCAGAAATACTTGATCTGTATTTAGATTTCATAAAATTTACAGTTGAAACAGTAACATCACATACCATACATAGTTTTTGGAAACATGCTTAAAGGTTTTCTAGTAATTGCATGGAGTATCAGTTTTTAAATTTAAATTTTAAGTAATTAAAATGTGCTAAATTAAAAATTCAGCTCCTCAGTCACATTAGCTACTTTCAAGTACTCAGTAGCCACAAATAGCTGGACGTGCAACACCAGGCATTGAAATGAACCAACCTCAGCTACATGCAACAATACTGTTTACAAAATAATGCTGAATGAAAGACGCAACATACAAAATAATACATGTGATTTCCTTCATATAAGTTCAAGAAGAGGCAAGACTAAACTGTGTTGTTTATGGCTGACCTATAATAGGTAAAGCTGTACTGAAAAAGCAAGGGAATTATTAAAGTCAGAATAGTGGTTACCTCCAGGGAGTAAGAGAAAGGGTTGTGATTGGAAAAGGGCACACTGGGGTCTTCTGGGATGCTAGCAATGTTCTTTCTTGACATGATTGGTGTTACATGGGTATTTTCTTTGTAATTATTAAACTGAACATTTATGTGCATCTTATGCACATTTTAGTTCTCAAAAGTAATTTTGTGTGTGTGTGTATGAGGAATATTGGCCCCGAGCTAACATCTGTTGCCAATCCTCCTCTTTTTGCTTGGGGAAGATTGTCACTGAGCTAACATCTGTGCCAGCCTTCCTCCATTTTGTACATGGGACAGCATGGCTTGATGAGCAGTGTGTAGGTCCGCACCTGGGATACAAACCTGCGAACCCCAGGCCACCGAAGCAGGGCACACAAACTTAACCACTATGGCACTGAGCCGGCCCCTCAAAGATTTTTGTTTAATGGGGGAAAAAAATCAAATGGCTTCACTTGCAGCCCTGATATAGTTCTGTATGAGGCTTCCATAATAAGATTTGGGAAAAGAGAGGAGGAAATGGCCGTTCTGCCAATGTTGGTACCACCCAGAGTTGGGCTATAACAGACTTTGTGATCTAGAGAGTAGGCATTAAATATACAATTTGGGGGGAAGAGTGGATAGGGGTGTGTGTGTGTTTGTGTGTGACGGAGAGAGATGGACATAAAGGAGGACACGAGAAGAGAGGTCTGAATGAAAACAGAGCAGAGATCACCATCCCTAAATTAAATAAGAAATAGGGTATTTAAGTGGCACCATTACCCAGGTTTCCCCCACATATAGGAGTTAATCCTATGTGGTAAATAGTTGTAGTTATTTTGCATTTTGATCCAGAAATAACCTTTTTATTTTTCAGAATTCTCAGTGAAAATTTTTTGAGCGAATTACATAAGGATTCATTTGAAGGCCTGCTATCCCTCCAATATTTGTAAGTTAGTTAATTACATTTATTTCTGAGATTTTAGTTACATAATCTCTAAGATAAATAAGGGGTTCAAATTAGGTAATCTCTATAATTTCTTCCAGCAATAAAATTCTACAATTCTGTAAGTCTGTGAAGGGCCCCGGCCTATCTCTAGCATTAAATACCTCGGATGCATTTTTGTTTTTTAATTATATAGACAAGGTATAGATAGGAAAAAGCCCTTCCATTATAGAGGAAAAGTGATAATGAAGTCTGAGCAATTATAGATACGCATATGAACCTTGTTATATAAGAGTTTATATTTGCTATTATTAATGCTATCAAGTGGATTCCACTGACCCTGCTAGTATTTGAAATACCTGTGGCATAGCTTTCAGCATCACAGCAACACACAGCAGCCACAATATGACAACTGACAGACGGGTGGTGTGGTTCCCTAACCGGGAAATGAACCCAGGCTGCGGCAATGAGAGCACTGAATCTTAGCCACTAGACCACCAGTGCTGGCTCCAAGTGCTCACATACCATCTGCTTATATTTATATTTCACTTATGACCCATAGATCAAATCTGGCCCATGGTCCATTTTTATACAGCCTGTAAGTTAAGAATAGTTCTTACATTTTTAAAGGGCTGCAAAAGAAAAAAGCAAAGAAGAATATGCAACAGAGACCGTATGCGGCCTGCAAAGCCTAAAATATTTGCTATCTGGTTTTTACAAAAAAGTTTGAAAAACTTGATTTAATGAGGGGAATTAAAGTCAACCTCAAATTGTCACCTAAAGGACAAAAAAAACTTACATTAATTTGAATGCCATTAACCCAAAATTTTTTGATAATTTAATCTCAATTAAATTAACATTTAAATATTAAATACTTAACTAAGCAGATGAATTATGTAAACAATGTTGTCAGGAACTTATTAAGTTACCAAGAGAACAGACTGATGTTAAGGATGGCAGTGCAGGAATCGTTATACCAATATTTAAAAAAGATGTTTAAAATGATGGTTAAGTGGTATTTAGAAATGTTGACACTAAATAAGCATATCAGAAATGCCCCTGACTTTACTAATTACAAAATAAAAATCTCTCCAGCCTTGTTGTCAAGGAGAAAATGCTTGCCTAGTATTTCTGTTAACTTAGAGATAAGGAGATACTTTGTTCTTTGCTGTAAAAGCTCAATTTCCATCCTTTGTCCATGGCATCCAGAGCTGTATATGTCATTAATTCATATTAAGCTAATTAATGATGCTCTTTAGCAAGTAGATTAGTCTTGTAAATGTGGAAGGCTTAGGGGAAGTGGGTATGAAGAGCCTCACTTGACACTGAAAATAGTCTTTTGAATTGTCAAAGCTTCCAAGCCTTGGGGGACAACCACTTTTGTACTGGTCTTCTTGGGTACCTCTGCCATTTGGGCTCCAAACCTTACACAGTTTGGAGAAAAACAAATGAGATAACTGCTCAATGGATTAGGCCCTTCGTTACTTCTACTATGAAATACTTTGTAAGCTAATTATTTCATGTTAGCATAGATATTCTCATTCATTTTTTAAAAAATGCCAATCATTAAGAAAGCTAAAGAAGACTATGCCAAGCACGGCGCCTAGTATTGTAGGCACAGAGATGGGCAAGACAGGGTTCCTGTCCTTCCAGTAACTCATATTCTCACAGGAAAAATAAACTTATAAGCTCAAACCACAATGCACAAGCACTAAATGGATGACAAAGTGTTGGAGAGGCACAGAAGAGGGAGCCAGGAAGTAATAAAACTACAGCCCTTTTGGAACAGTCATTTTCCTCCTTCTACTCACTCCCCAGCTGTTTGTTTATTTTATAAATATTTGAGTTTGTTTTATGTCCATGCATCTCTTAAACATGGTAGACAACGCAGGTGAGCAAGTCTGAGTCCATCCTTTCAAGGAGTTTATGCTCAGAGGAAATGGAATGCAAAAATAACTAATCTAAAGGAGAAATAGAAATGGGCAATGAGAGGTATAAATTGTTTTTGGAGCACAGAAGGAAAAAAGACTTCATGTTGGATCAGGGAAGACGTTGCAAGAGCAGTGCTGTTTGAACAGGACCTTGAAGGGCCACTGGATATCATCAGGCAGACATCTTGGGAAGAGTAAGCTTGGAAAAGGAGAGTGGGAGAAAGGCAAAACACAGGAGCGTAGCTTGAGCGCCTGTAGAGTGCAAGTAGGGAGAGTAGGAGATTAAAGCAAGATCTCCTAGGGCTTTCAACGCCAAGCCAAGGATAGCATGCCAGGCTACCATGTCATCACAGCAGTGCTCTAGGATAAGCTTTAACCTGCAACAGAATCACTTGGAGGGCTTGTTAAAACACAAGCCCCATCCCCACAGTTCTACTAAATCAGTCCATCCAGAGGCAGGCTGAGAATTTGTATCTTCAATAAGTTCTCAGTAATGCTGGTATTTGAGAACCACTTCTGGAGAGTCAACCTGGTGACTGTGTGCGGAAGGGATTAGAAAGAGAGAGACTAGAGATGGAAACACCAGTCAGAAGACCGGTATACCCATCCAGGTGAAAAGTGGGGGACTAAGCTGGATTCAATGGAAATAAGAGAGTCAGCTATAGTCAAGAGTGGGTGTTTTCAAATAAAAATCCAGTACCATGTTGTTTTCTGTTGTCCCACCACTGTACAACTGAAGCAGTTAAATTCATGGCGTGTTAGGGCAATATAAAGCCAAAAATGAATTTCTATTAGTATGATAGAAAGTATAATTCTGAATTAGTTCAAAGTTGTGTATTAATTAGAGGAGTAACTTCTTTCAAGTTATGTGAAAGAGTATCTTTTATTTCTTCTGGTATTTAATTGACCTAGAAAAACTAAACCAGAAGGTGTGTAATTGTGAGAATATTCCTTTTAAGATTAGAAGTGATAATTATATATATGGAGATGAAAACTTTGAGCTCATAATCTAGAGCTCAAATGATGAGACTACTAAGGTCATCTAATCAATTCTTATGCTCTCAGGGATGATTACCTCCAGAATCTGTCAAGATCTATAGTTGTATATGTTATTTAAGAAGATCATGAAGGTGAGACTCTTATGAGAGTTGAGGGCAGGGTTAGGAGCTCTGGAAGGTTCCAATAGCAATTCCTAAGGTTTAGAGTTTAGACAGAATCTCCTTATTCAATATCACCATTCTAACCTCTACTAGTTGTTCCTACTAATGAGATATCTAATAGCTAATTGAGGCAATATTTTCCTTTTACTTTTCCTAGAGATTTATCCTGCAATAAAATACAATCTATTGAAAGACGTACATTTGAACCACTACCTTTTTTGCAGTTTATGTAAGTTACAAATATAACTTCATTATATTTGGAATTTTTATAAAACTTAATTGTAAACCTCTTTGTTATTCATTTTGAAATATGGTTAAAATTTTACTAGTAGAAAGCTACTAAAACTATGTAGCAAATCTTTTTTGTCTCTATCAAAGATTAGTGTGAGAATTATTACACAGATCAGAGAGATTCCTTCTAGAACAGTGGTTCTCAACCAGGGTAATTTTGCACCTGGTGCATTTGGCAACATCTGGAGACATTTTTGGTTGTCAGAACTGTAGATGCACTACTGGCATCTAGTAGGCAGAGGCCAGAGAGGCTCCTCAACATCCTACGATGCACAGGACAGCCCCCCATAACAAAGAATTATCCAGTCCATAATGTCAATAGTGTTGAAGTTGTGAAATCTTTTTCTAGGGAAATAAAGTTCACGTAACACACGTATTTATTGAGCACTTACTATTTTGTGTTTAATGCACCACATGTAGAAACATGAAAGTATAAATTATAAGCAAAAAATCCACAGGGAGATTTCTAATATGGAGGGAGTATTGAGGTTACAATTCATCATATATAAATTAGAATCACTGCCAAAGGATAAAAGTTCTGAAAGACTATCTTTTTCTCTTCTTCTTTTGCTTGTGTCTTTTTTTGTAGAAATCTTGGTTGCAATTTACTCACAGAACTGAGCTTTGGAACGTTTCAGGCCTGGCATGGAATGCAGTTTTTACACAAGTTGTAAGTGAAGTAGAAGAGGAATACATGTAAAAAACTATGTGTAAAAACACCATACAGTTATTGGCTAGCTGGGTGTAAGCCCAGGATGACCTCTGACGAGTATGTCTTAGGATCCATTGATTTTTTTTCCAAATGAGGAAACTATGGTACAAAGAGGCTGAGAGACTTGGCTAACTCACGTGTGGCACACTGCTTCCTTAGTACCAGACTCTGGCATGGGCGATAAAAGGCACCAAGCAAATAACACTCAAATTAGCACTGTCATGGGATTCCCAATGACACTGCTCTGTCTGATATGGGAATGGTCCTTGAAATTGCACTTTTGAATTTAACTTTGATTCCTGCTCACATGCAAAGTTCCCAACTGCTTACATGTATGCAACAGAGAGCTGCAGAGAATTAAATTCAGCACTAAGTTCTCCAGGGAGCAAAACATGTGGGTGCTTCCTCAGCCATCAGCTTCTTTTAAATGGTAAAATAGAAAGAATCCCTGAAAACCTGCACAGGGCACTTCTCTCCCCGGTCACCCAGAACATAATATTTTAAAAAGTACATACCTCTGAACTGAATTACCTGTCGGCTTTAGGAACCTTTGCGGTATGGAAAAAGATGTGTTAAGCTGTAGTGTGAAAAATATTCATAAAGGAAATACATTGCTATAGCCTAATTCCATATTCTTTCTTTCCTGACTACTCTTCAATAAGAAGTATGGGTTTTATTCCCTTTCAGCTTGAAAATTCTGTGACTTCTCTGTGACACAAGCAAATCCTGGTGGTTAGGTTCAGTGGGCTGAAGGGGATTTTAGACTCAAGGTGAAGATCGTCCTCTGAACATGACTTTGGAAAAGCCTGTCTTACCTGTCTCGTGGGTCAGAAATCCAGTTTCACACAGTTCATTTCGGGTTGGATGAAGATGTTCAGGGTGTGTCTGGAGCTGATTTCACAGTTCCTACAGATGCCCATCTGTTTCGGCCTCCCGTCTCCGCTCATTAATTTGCCGATACCTAACTTGGGAAAAGGACACTAAGGGTCAGTTTTTCTTTTGCCAGCGCACCAAAGAGCAGACTCATTAGGTCCCTCCACCAAGAGGTTTTAGTGGCGTCAATACAATGTCTTAAACGCACCACCTTTACCAAGCATTTTATGACGCTGAGAGTCCCGTGTAAGAATCTGTCTCACTATAGGTAGGTAGGCCACACGGGGAAAAAACTGTGGAATCACAGTTGATAAAAGTAATGAATTCACTCAAAAACACTCACCAAGTGCCATACCCACTGTGTGTCAGGACCGTACTAAGTGCTGGGGATACAAAGAAGAATAGGACAGGGACTTTGTCCCCAAGAAACTTTCAGACTAGAAGGAGGAAGATGGACATTGTTGGGAAAACATACAAGAGCCATGCTAGCATGTATGCAGCAGGGTAATGAGGTAGAGGGTGACGAAGTAGGGAACGGGTGGTGAGTTAGAAAAGATTCATAATGGAGGAGGCACCGGCTGGTTTATGTTGAGTTTCTGTGCTCATCTTAAAATGACAGAAAAAGGTAATGAAACAATCAGAGCTAGCTGGTGTTGGAAATAAGTTAATACTCATATCTTGTGATTTGAATAGAGCTGTCCTCCTAAAACTAACTCACAGTTACTGTCGAAAGATTGTCACAATATAGTGAGCCTGTGTTGGGGGCTGCACTCCTTCTTTGTTCTTTTTTTTTTTAAGGATTGGCACCTGGGCTAACAACTGTTGCCAATCTTTTTTTTTTTTCCTACTTTATCTCCCCAAACCCCCTCTGTACATAGTTGTATATCTTAGTTGCAGGTCCTTCTAGTTGTGGGATGTGGGACGCCGCCTCCACGTGGCCTGACGAGCTGCACCATGTCCGCGCCCAGGATCCGAACCCTTGGCCGCAGCAGCAGAGCGCACGAACTTAACCTCTCGGCCACGGAGCGGCCCCTCCTTCTTTGTTCTAATAGACAGAGCTGATTTGCTTCAGGAAACATTTCCCGTAGTGAGATGTAAACTTTACTGCATCTCTTTCCAAAAGCAAGTTGCCAAGGGCAGATGCCACCTCTCGAGTTGTCGTTTTATTACCTATGTGACATTACTGGGGTGTTTATAAGTTGAGACAGTATTTTTCCCTGTGTTACATAAGTTTGTCAAAAGGCCCCAGGTGAGCCGGATTTATCATGAATTGAATGAAGCTTAAGCTTCAGGGCTCCTGGCTTTCATAGGCCCCTTCCAAGGCCTTGGGAGGGGCCCTAGCAATTTTCGTATTCATAATTTTGTGTGTTTTTATTAGACAGACTTCCCAAGGTAGATGAGGTTTAGGTCCCACAAAACCTTGATTCACCCCTGGGTTTCAGGTAATTACAACTCAATAAGTTTCTTGACTGAAGCCTCTGTGTTATTGACAAACACGAGTGAACAAGTTAGCAGCGCGGTAAAGGATCTATTTTGAATCCGAAATCCACCCCAAAGATGTGCCAAGAGCTGATTGATAAAGTACCGCTTTTTTGAATGGTAGTAATAATCATATCTCTTTCTGATAAAATCAGGAATGAAATATATTATGGAAAACCAGCAGTGGTTGATAATCATAAGTAATAAGTATACTTTTTTTTTCCCTGACTTTAAAGTGCTTCTCCTTCCTTCACCTACACAGGTCCAGACTGACGGCTTATTTTAAAAAGTTCTTTTAGTCACTTTGTTGGTTCTAACAATATAAGTTCCATGACTTCAGAGAATGAAGGACTGTACGTGTAGAAAGGCTGTACCTCATTCAGGTAGAGCACGTTCACATGCTGGCTTGTCTGTGGTACATCAGTATTGTGCCAAGAACACAAGCACTAAGAGAGAATGAGAGGAAAATCCAAACCTTGTTCCTGCTGAAGTATTTACCCCACTGTTAAGAATATCAGTGAGATAGGTGGGGCCACACCATGAAGGCAAACTGAGCCGTGGTCACAGAGCCGCCCTAATGCTCCCACAGTCAGCTAGCATCGGTTTCCTCTAGATAGCTGTGGACACACAGAAGTTTACACACTTCAAGGTTTTGTCATCACTTTTTGATATGTGCTGGAAGCCTGGCAGCTTTTTCTCAGATTGAGAAAGGCATAAACATTAAAGATGAAAACAACTACTCAGGTCTGTCCGTTGGGGTAATTAAGGGTATCTGTTTTATTTGTAATAGTTCAGAAGTTTTGAGGTTGTCACACCCAGCAACTGCTGTCCTCTTCTTCTCCCAGCCACATCTTACTCTTCCCAGCTGTATAACAAGGTATCTTCCTTCTCTCGGAAACATAGTTGTTTTTCTCCTGCCCCATAATATTTCTTTAATCCCTACATTTCTTTAATAGTATGTTTATTAGTGTGTCCCAGACACTATACTAAGTGCTTGTACTTATACAGGTAAGATAGCATGGCTACAGCTCTTAGACTAGTTCTTGGCACATGGTAAATGCTCAGTACATGTTACCTCACTCTATATCTCATTTTCGTTTTCCCAGCAACTCTTGTGATGTAGATATTATTATCCTCATTTTGGGGATGAGGAAATTGAAACTCAGAGACATTGGATAACTTGCCTAGGTTCACACTATTAATAAATGGCAAAACTGCTTACGAGATTTTTCGAGTAATTTTCTAAGCAGCTCTGCATTCCCTTATAATAGGAGCTGGATGATGACAGCTTGGCTTTTTGTGCATTGTATCTGGAAGTTGGTTTCTAACTTAAATAGACCCTCTAGAACAGAGAGATCCTTTTCCCTGTGAAAATGCCCTCTTCTGGTGCTGCTGGCCGTGTCACCTCTGGGCATCCCCAGGGTTTCTGCTCACTGTCCTGGGCAGATGTGACATCATTACTGCTGAGCACCTGCTCTCTGCCCAGCCTTATGCCAGGTGCTTTGCATGTGCTCTTTTATTTAGTCCTCAAACTGCTTTATGAAGTAAATGGGACTAAGTAGGACTCAGAGATGTTCATGACTCAAGTCACTTCACCAGAAAGCGATAGCCAGACTTCAAACCTAGGTCTGCCTGATTCCAGGGCCCTTGCTTCTTCCACTGTTCCTCACTGCCAGGGACTTTTCAAGGCTATTCTCAGAACTTTGATTAAAATATAGATTCACCATTTCAAATTCTTTAGACTTCGCCCCCTGAGAAAGTGTTTACGTGACGCACTTAGAGGTATTGTACTGAGGAGCTTCACGTTGGGAGTCGTGTTCTCATGGCTCGTGGATCTTGCACCTGAATAAAGGAAAGAGGTTGCTCCATCCCCAAGTACTTTGAACATAGTGCAACAGGATTTAGGTCTCTCTGCTTATTTCTTTGACTACCTTCCTCCAAGGAACCAGTTTTCCCTGCCATCCTTGGGATTCTAGCTTAGACAGTTTGGGAGTTTGTCTTATTTTAAATTTATTTTCACTGCCTGCTTTGAACATTTTTTCAGCTAAAGCTGTTAGGATTACAGTACATTCAGGACAGTGATGACATGCTTCAGTCCCCACTTCTTCTCTGTCGCCTCTGTTAATAGAAAGGAAACGTAGCCCATCTATCTGGACCTGTATAGAAGAATTTGGAGGGGAAAAAAAAAACTGGTAAGAAATATTCCCTTTTTTGGGGAACTACCTTGAATCTGTCCCATTATTCTACAGCAAAAAGCTTATCCAAAAATATTTGTTTTCCTCTTCAAATAAGATATTTTTTAAATCATTTTAAACAATATTTCTTAAACTTTGACTTTGAGACAGTCTTTAAGGCTAGTAAAAACTGTTGCCATGTTTTACTCCTGTAAAGACAAGCCCATGAATATTAAAAAGGCAATGGACTATGAGTCAACACACCTTTTCTCTGTAAAATGAGGGAATTGAACCAAAATGGAAACGATCTCTAGTGCAATGTCCACTGTGAATCTAAAACCATTCATATTGCGGTTTGTGGAGAAACAGTTGCTGTAGAGTCTCCCAGATCTGAGCTGTTGAGTCAGTTCTCACTCCTTCTCTCCCTTGCCCAGGCACAACCTTGGTGAAGAAAAGACTGCCCTGCAGACAGGAGGAGGAAATAGGATCATTTAGGGTGGCCCTGTATTTGGATTTCGCTAGGGATAAAGGCAAGGATATTAATCTCAGTTGGAGAAGGGCTGCCTAGTTAAGAGGAAACGCTGAGCCGATGGGTACAAGGCCATGGATGAGCTGCTAAGAAAGAGTGAAGGAGTAGAGAGCTGAGATAATTTTGGAGGGAGGATCACAAACTTTGCTAAGTTGTTTTGGCTGCATATCGCTTTATAGTCCTTCTTACTGCCTGGGGGCAAAGTGGGCAGGGGAAGACGCAGAGGTGGAGGAGCTTACTTGCACAGAGCCCACCGGCTCTCATAGGTTTTTTGTAATGCCAAAGAAATTTTTTTCAAAGCAAGGAATATTCAGAGCCTCAAAGTTTGAGGAACTGTGCTTAACCAGACATGTGACACTCATATTCTTTCTCTTCATAACAGTATCTTACTAAATATTAACTCGTGGTACAAATCAAACAAGTTAATGGTACTAAAAAGATCTAGAAGAATGGGCTAGAATAGGAAGAATAGGGGAGTTCCCACGGCAAGATTATACTGCGTGGCTCCCAGCCTCGCCGCTGCCTCCCTCTGACCTTGGTCACGGAAGAGTCGGAGTCTTCGCCCCTCTTTTCTCCATCCAGCAACATGTTTGGTCTTCTGGCAACTGGTGCTCTATATATTACAACATGGTTCTTTTTCTTTAATTGAGCTATAATCCACATAACATAAAATGTAACATTATAAATTATGTGATTCGATGGTGTTTAGTATATATACAGGGTTGTAGAACAATCACCACTGTCTAATTCCAGGACATAATTCCCAAGAAGAAATGCTGTGCCTGTTAGCTGTGACTCCCTCCATCCCCCTCCTCCCAGGCCCTGGCAACTACTACTTTCTTTCTGTCCATACAGATTTGCCTATTTTGGACATTTCATATAAATGAAACACAATATGTAGCCTTTTGTGTGCCTGGCTTTCACACAGCATGTTGTTTTCAAGGTTCATCCATGTTGTAGCATGTATCAGTACTCCATTCCTTTTTAAGGCTGAATAATATTCTGTTATATAGATATACCACATTTTGTTCATCCATTCATCAGTTAATGGACATTTGAGTTGTTTCCATTTTTTGGTTGTTAGGAATAATGCTGCTATGAACATTCACGTACAAGTTTTTCTGTAGACATGTTTTTAATTTTCTTGGGTGCATACCTCACAGTGGAATTGCTGGGTCACATGGTAACTCTATGTTTAACTTTTTTGAGGAACTGCCAAAACTTCTATTTCTTAGAAGACAATATAGGAATAAATCTTTATGACCTTGGATTAGGCAACGGTTTCTTAGATATGACATCAAAAGCATAAACAACCAAAGGGAAAATAGATAAATTGGACTTTATAAAAATTAAAAACTTTTGTGCTTCAAAGGACACTAATAAGAAAGTGAAAGACAATTCATAAAATGGGAGAAAACATTTGCAAAATATACATCTGATAAAGGTCTAGTATCCAGAATATCCAGAATATATAAAGAACTCTTACATTCAGGTATTTGATCCATTTCACTTTAATTTTTATATATGATGTCAAGTGTAGGAGTCCAACTTCATTATTTTGCTTATGGATATACAAGTGTCCCAGCACCATCTGATAATGCTATTGTTTCCACATTGAATTGTTTTGGCACCCTTGTTGAAAGTCAATAGACTGTAAATGTGAAGGTTTATTTCTGGACTGTCAATTCTGTTCCATTGATTCATGTCTGTGTTTATATGTGTCAGTGCCACAGTGTGATTGCTGTAGCTTTGAATTGGGTTTTGAAACTAGGACGAGTGAGTCCCCGCTCTTTGTCCTTCTTTATTAAGAGTATTTTGGCTATTCTGAGTCCCTTGAATTGTCATATGAATTTTAGAATTAGCTTGCCAGTTTCTGGAAAGAAGTCAGTGGAGAATTTGATATGGATTGTGCTGAAGCTATAGATCTATTTGGGGAATAGTGCCATTTTAACAATATTGTCTTCTGATCCATGAACATGGCAGATCTTTCCATTTATTTAGATCTTGTTTAATTTCTTTCAACAATATTTTGTAGCTTTCAGTGTATGAGTTTTGCACTTGTTTGGTTAAAATTTTTTCTAAGCATTTTGCTCTTTTTGTTGCTGTTATACATGGAATTGCTTTCTTAATTTAATTTTTAGATTACTCATTGCTAGTGTATAGAAACATAGCTGATTTTTGCATGTTGATCTTGTATCCTGTCACCTTGCTGAACTCATTTATTAGCGCTGATAGTTTTTTTTTCTAGATTCCCAGGAATATGTCTCATGGTCTTCCAGTTTCCCAGGAATATGGTGGAGCAGTTCAGAGTCTCTAAGGACATCTCATTCCTCAGCTTTTCTTTTTAAGTTTTTGGTTAGGCTATTTTTAGCCTTAGTTGTTCTCCATTGTCTCATGCAGCTGCCATGTTAAAACATTTACCTGTAATTGTTTTTTCAAAAATGCCCCCTGAGGAGGGGCTAGCACCAGGCAGCTCTCAGTCAGGTCAAAGACAAGCCTTTCAAGTGAGGTCTTCCCAGGTACCACCAGACAGTAAAATCATGGCAGTTTTTTGGGAAAGAGGCTTTGGAGGCGCTCCAGCTCCACTCTGCTCCTTCTTGTACCAGGGATGTGGACTTTTTCAAGGCTACCACTGGGAGGGAGAACACAGGCCTAGGACAAGTTAAAGCAACACAGATCTCACTGATCTTACAGAAATTAATCAGTTTTTCTTGAATAAATGTCCCCTGGGTTGCCACAAGCCCACTGGTTAAATTTCCAGAGTTCTGGAAAAGGTGATTCTGACAATTGTTGCCAGTTTTTCTGTTGCTTTTATGGAAGGGTGAATTTTCAGGTGTCCTCACTCCACCATTTGCACTGAGTTGCCTACAACATGGTTTTAAATCTGTAAAGTCTCAATGACCATAGGCTCACTAAGTATTTAATCATGAGAGATAATTAGGAAAAGGAATACAAAGAAAATGTAATTTTCATAGAGGCTCTCCCAAATGGGATGAAGTTCGATGATGAAGTTTGAAAAGGTATTTCTATATTTAGTGCTCTCAAAATTAAGATAAAGTAACAGCTATTTTAAACCCCTTTTCTTCATACAGGTTAAACACAGTCTTTGGAGTCAGAACTGAGTTCAAATTCCAGCTCTGCTTCTTAGTAGCTTGATGACCTAGGACAAGTTATATAACCTCTCTGTGCCTCACTTTCCTCATTTGTAAAATAGAGTAATAACATTATCTAATGTATAAGGTTATCGTGAGGATTAAATGTGAAATGCTGATCACAGATGCCTGGCAGCACAATAGATATTAGTTGTGAAAATCATCTTTATAATATTTTGCAAAAGTATACTAATGATTCTTGAGTAGAGTTAAACTAAAGGCAGATTTTCTTTTCTTTCTTCTTGTTTCTTGTTTGTTCACTTGTTTGTTTTAAAGAATTAAGAAGAAAATCTATTCCAGCATTTTGGAATAAAAATTTGTGTCAAAAAATGAATTTGTTCACTTTATTGATATGTAAACAAAATGTTATTTATTTATTCAACAAACATTTATTAAGTACCTAGGAAGTATCAGGCACTATGTCAGGCACAGGGATAACAATGACAAAGTGTGGTCCCTGCCCTGAAGCAGACAGGTGATTATATACAATGTAACAAAGGCTGTGATACAGGAATACATGAATGTGTGATGGGAGGGAGTATGGCTTTCACCAGTTCCTCTTAGATTGATCCCCCTTCTTTGGCTCCAAGAAATTGATCCTATTTTTGTCTTTAACTGGGTAGTTTAAATCACGGAATTTTAAAAATTTCTAGAGATGAAAGAAAAGCATCTTGAAGTGCGGAGGACACTAGAAATAGTATTTCCTACAGAGCAAGGGCTTCCTACCAGCATAGTCACTTCAAGGGTTTTCAGCCTGGAAAGTTCTTTGGCATAGTTTTTCTTTGCTATCCACTTTTCTTCTATTTTTTTTCTCTTTTTCTTCTCCACTTTATCATCTAGAGACTTGGGTAGTTCCCAAAGGAAGAGTGCTTTATGGATTCTGAGGGTGATTTATAGGTAAAGACAGAAAATGATTTTTTTTTTTTACCTTCAAGTTCCATACCAAAAAAATGAATATAAACTTTCATGGCAGCTATTGAAAATGCAGATAATTTTAATTCCATTGCATTTTTCAGAATTCTCAGTCGTAATCCTCTGACAACTGTTGAAGATTCTTATCTTTTTAAATTGCCAGCATTAAAATATTTGTAAGTATTGCAACAATCTCATGGCTAATGAGATGATTTCTGCTCTTTTTTACCTTCACCAAAGATTAAGTATTTTGCATTCTTGTAAAAAGTTATAATTTAAATTTTAACTGGGTTATTGAAATAAGAGTTATTGACAAAGAAAAGGATTAAGAAAGAATATATATATCGGCAAGACAGTGTTGAAGCACACATACAGCTATGGAACATATAGATCCACGTAGAAATATCATTTATCCCAGAAAGCAATGAGGAATAACGTTACATTATTTTTTTTAAAGAGTAGTCAAGAAAGGTGGCTGCGATTGAGAATGAGAGGTGGGATAATGGTAAGAAAAAGATTGTACTGTTCAGCACCAAGGCCATTAATTTGATAATGCAAATAAATTTAAATTTCTTCAATAAGAGCTCTCTGGAATTATCATCTATGGTAAGTAGACTCTTGAGCTAGCTTGACAGAGAAGGCAGAATTGAAGGAATCACATGTCATTAAGTATCTTTTTAAGTATAGAATTTTTGTCTTTGGGTTCATATCATGCATCTTTGGGCTTCTCCTTCAGAGACATGGGAACAACACAAGTGTCACTTGCAACCATTGAGAGCATCCTCATGATGACCCTTGAATTGGAAAAACTGTAAGTTGATTTTTCTTACACTTATTTTCACTTAGTTGTTTTTTTAGATTTGTTTTATTGCCTTAAATCAAGTTTATTGAGGTATAATTTTCATTTAATAAAATTCACTCTTTTTAAGTGTACAGTTCGGTGAGCTTTGACAAGTGTATGGTTATGTAACCACCACCATGACATTTGAGATATAGAACACTTCTGTCACCCCAAAAAGGCCCCTCATATCCCTTTGCAGTCAATCCTCTCTCTCACCGCCAGCCCCTGGCAACCACCAATCTGATTTTTTTTCATAATGTTTAAAAATTTTTTTATTGAGTTCATAAGAGTTTACATCAATGTGAGATCTCAGTTGTACATTATTTCTTGACTGTCACCACATAAGTGCTCCCCTTCACCCCCTGTGCCCACCCCCCTCCCCCCTTCCCCTGGTAACTACTGAACGGTTTTCTTTGTCCAAGTGCTTGTTTATATTCCACATATGAGTGAAATCATCTGGTGTTTGTCTTTCTCAGACTAACTTATTTCACTTAGCATAATTCCCTCTAGGTCCTTCCATGTTATTGCCGATGGGATGAATTTGTCTTTTTTTCTGGCTGAGTAGTATTCCATTGTGTATATATACCACATCTTCTTTATCCAATCATCGGTCAGTGGGCACTTGGGTTGCTTCCATGTCTTGGCTATTGTAAATAGTGCTTCTATGAACATAGGGGTGCATATGTTACTTTGGATTATTGATTTCAAATTGTTTGGGTAGATACCCAGTATTTGGAGGGCTGGGTCATATGGTAGTTCTATTTTTAGTTTTTTGAGGAATCTCCATACTGTTTTCCATGGTGGCTGCGCCAGTTTGCATTCCCACCAGCAGTGTATGAGGGTTCCCTTTTCTCTACACCCTCTCCAACATTTGTTATTTTTAGTCTTAGTGATTATAGCCATTTTAACAGATGTAAGATGGTATCTTAGTGTGGTTTTGATTTGCATTCCCCTGATGATTAGTGACGTTGAGCATCTTTTCATGTGTTTATTTGCCATCTGTATATCTTCTTTGGAAAAACGTCTGTTCATCTCCTCTGCCCACTTTTTGATCGGGATGTTTGATTTCTTATTCAGTTGTGTGAGTTCCTTATATATTATGTAGATTACCCTCTTGTCAGATATATGATTTGCAAATATTTTCTGCCAACTGGTGGGTTGTCTTTTTGCTTTGATCCTAGTTTCTTTTGCCTTGCAGAAGCTCTTTAGTCTGATGAATTCCCACTTGTTTATTTTTTCTTTTGTTTCCCTTGTCTGAGAGGACATGGTATTTGAAAAGATCCTTTTCAGTTCAGTGTCAAAGAGTGTACTACCAGTATTATCCTCCAGGAGGTTTATAGTTTCAGGACGTATCTTCAAGTCTTTGATCCCTTTTGTCCCTACAGTTTTACCTTTTTCAGAATATCATGTAAATGAAATCATATAGAATGTAGGCTTTGTGTTTGGCTTCTTTTACTTTGCGTAATCCTTTTGAGACTCATCCGTGTTGTTGCACCTATCAGTAGTTCATTCCTTTTTATTGCTGAGTAATATTCCAGCTGTGTGGATATACCAGTTTGTTTATGCATTCATCTGTTAATGGACATTTGAGTTGTTTCTAGTTTTTTGCCTATTATAAATAAAGCCGCTAAAAACACTCACATGCAGCTCTTTGTATGAACATATGTTTTCATTCCTTTGGAGTAGAATACCTAAGGGTGGGATTGCTACGTCATATGCTAAGTGCATATTTAACTTTTTAAGAAACTGCTAAACTGTTTTCTAAAGTGGCTGTACCCTTCTGCATTCCCACCAGCAGTGTATGAGAGTTGTGGTTGCTCCATAGCTTCACTTGACCCTTATATTTCAGTTTTCAAAAAGTTTTAGCCTTTCTAGTAGGTATATAGTTGTATCTCACTGTGGTTAAATTTGCACTTCTCTAACAGCTGATGAGTCTAAGGCCATATCAACCTGAATGCGCCCAATCTCATCTAATAGCTAATGATGTTGAGTGCCTATTCATGTGCAAATGTCTTTTTTAATGAAGTGTCTGTTCAAATCTATTTTTTAATTGGATATTTATCTTATTGAGTTTTAAGAGCACTTTACGTATTCTGGAAAAAGTCCTTTGTCTCAGATATGTGTTTAGTAAATATCTTCTCCCAGGTTGTGGCTTGTCTTCATTCTATTAAAAGTATCTCTGAAGACCAGAAGTTTTTCATATTTAACTTTTGATGAACCCTAATTTAGAAATTTTTTCTTATGTAGTTTGTGCTTTTTGTGTCTTATCTAAAAAATCTTTGAGAACTCATTGCCTAATCCAAAATCACAAAGATTTTCTCCCATGTTTTCTTCCAGAAGTTGTATAGTTACATTTAGGTCTATGATCCATTCTGAGTTAATTTTTATGTATGGTGTGAGGTGAGGGTCAAGTTTCATTCTTTTTGCAGTTTTAAAAAATATCTCTGTAGGGCCCTTTTGTGACAGTTTATTACACAACTTACTGCACTTTAAATTTTGCCATCCCCCCTCCAATATGGCAAGCTAGTAGAAACTTGCTAAGGCTACATAGAAATATGCTAAGGCTACTTGAAGCGATGACATGAGATTAGGATGGGAAAGGGTGTTGCATTTAGCACTCTGATCCAACCATTTTTGTCAGGTCAGCTGACAAATGACTGTCTTCCCCACATTGTCACATCTGTTGGTCACTGCTTTAGCCTCATCTTCCTCAACCTCCCATAGCGTCTACCACAGCTGATCCCTCCCTCGTCAGCTAGATGCCTTCTCTCCAATATTCAAAATCATTTTCCTATGTAATTACAACACTGTTAACACTGAAGAAATTAAATTCCTGTACAATAATATTGTCTAATAAAGAGTTGATATTCAAATTTCCCAATTGTCTCAATTATATCATTTATTTTTAACAGCTTTTTGAGGTATAATTGACATACAGTAATCTGTGTCAATATATGTAAACACCATAAAACCATCACCAAATTCAAAATGTCCATCAACTCAGAAAGTTTCTTCATGTCTCTTTGTACAGTTATATGCTGGCATCATTCTATGAAGCAGAGTGCCCCACTCTTTTCTTTTTGAGTATCATTGTGAACTCACGGGTTCTTCTTTAAATTAATTGTTTTATACCTTATTATCATTGTTATTCTTTTGAATGTTCAGATAGTCCAGAGTTGGCCAATGTGATCTCTGTTATTGTTTAACCACACAATGTTTTCTATTCCCAGAGTAATTTCTAATATATATTTCTGATATATTTACCTCTCTCAACTAGGAATTAAGAAAGAGACTCCAGAAGTTGGGGACTTACTCAGACTCTTCTTAGAAGTCTACCCTCTTCCTGTGCACTCTCAACCCTAAGTGAGACTTTTGGGTTGGGAGATCATTCTGAATTAAACTGCAGATCAATGTCACCCAATTCTAAGCCCTGTCGCCTTTATTCTAGGCATACCATACGCACTGCTGTCCTGGCTCTTCTGTTGGATACTTCTGTCCTCCTCTCTGTTTATTATAATATTCAAGAACAGCAGTTGACCAACTGGTCCCTACCCGATTGTTCAGGCCATATGTCCCAAGAACTCCTTTTTTTGCAGAGCCCTGTGGTGGCCTTGGCCTGCCTCTTCTACATACTCAGTAACTCCTTGACCACTAATTTACTTATCTGTGTTTCCATTTATAGGGTCTTACCTAGCCGTATGGCCTGCTGCCTCTGCCAATTTAAAAATAACATTGAGGTGGTCTGCAAGACAGTCAAGCTACATTGTGACAGCGAGTGTCTGACGAACACCACACGTTGTGGTGAGTCTGCACTGCTTGATGATAAATGTGTAAATTTTTATTTTATGTTTTAATTTTTATTTTTAATCAATGATGATAAATATTTTAACTAATGATGTAATTGCTCTATCTTTATTCGCTCAATCGAATTCAACTCCCTAAATTTCTAAGAACTACTCCTTTGCTAAAAGTCAGATTCTCAGTTACATTATCAAGCTAATAGAAAAGAACAAGAGAAAGGAATGAAAAGGGGGAGGAAATTAACATTAATGGCTACATATTGTGTGTGGTGCTCTCTGCTTGGTACCTTACCCCCAGATGAGGACTTACTCATATAGTGCATCACAGTTTGTAAACTGATTTTATATGCATTAGGTCTCAAGTGCCCTTTGTCTTATAGGACAGATGTAGATAGATTTTTGTTTATTTTGTTTGCTTTTGCAATTTTACAAAAGAGCACAGGTGATGCTCTTTTATAAAAGTTTTATTTGGAGCCTCAGAGTTTCTGGTTCCATAACCAAAAGCTGCTACCTGGCCTTTCTCATGGATGGGAGGGCTCTTCGATTCTTAGACTGTCCAACTCTGAACTTACCATGAATCTCATTCTTCTCCATCCACAAAACACTCAGGTGTTTTTAAGTATTTTTCTGTATATTAGATGTATTGGCACCAACTTGATGACTTACAAAATGTGCTTTCATGCCCAGAGAGCTTGAATACAGGTCTCTATCAGTGACCTAGGGCACATCATAAATAAGAACACTTTGCTACTTATATAAAGACAGTGTTGCTTATTTTTCAAAACATTTTTTTTTTTACCAATTATATTACTCCCCTATCCCCTAGAGGTGGGCAGAACAGGCATTTTTAATCTCCTTTTACAGGTGAGGAAAAACAAGATCAGAGGTGTTAGGTGCTGTAGTCTGGTACCCAGGTCTCCTGTCCCCAGTTTCGGGCTCTCCACAAGCACCTCCTCCTCCTCTCTCATCACCTTTACCTCATCCTCTGACTCTCACCACCACCACCAAAAATACTTTTAATTTTTCTGGAAAAGAAGCCCAGCTGCACAATTGTACACTTGAACTTCATGCAGTGAAAACCTTTGGCTGGTTCCACAGGTAAAGCTGAAAGTATTAGAAATGAAATGAAATGAAAGCAAAGTAGGCATCTGACAAAAGTCTCTTTTTCCCTTCTGCATTTTAGGACTTGAAGTATTATTCCATTGATTTATTGAACATTCCCACCTTGGCATACAGTCTGGTGAATCTCTTAATCTACACCCCAGATCCCCGCCCACTTTTAAACAAAGATTCAGGGTGGACATAGTGGTTTTTTCTATATAGAGCCTTCTGTTACAGGGGCTAGGATATATGGGAGCAGGCCCAAGCAAAGGAACCTGTGGGTAGGTGGAGAAGGGCGTGTTCAGACCAGGACCTTTTAGCAGTGGATGGTGTTGTGGTCGTCTGTGATGGTAGCCAGAACACGAGCACACTGAAGAGGTGGAGAGAGGAAGCCTCACGCTCCCTCTGCATCTGAGGCGGGATGGAATGGGGCATATGAACATGAGGAGTCACAGAAGATCTGCAGGGGGTCTAGCTGAGCGGGGAAATATTTGTCTTCCAGCCGTGGCTTTTCTTGAGGACCGGGCAGTTGGCCCTTGGGGACCAATGGCCTAATCCTAACTATAGTTACTATATTTCATACCATGGAATGTTCTGAGTAGAGAACCACTTTTTCTCCTTTTGTTGTTGCCAATCATAGGTTTAAATTTGGGTTTATTTTTCTCCTCTCTACATGGCACTCAAATGTTTGCTGATTCCTAATTTATTTGACTGGGATATACAGCTGTAGGCTGACAAAAAGCTGTCCCATCAGTCTTTCATTATCAAAAGCAGTCTCTTCTTTTTTGACAGATGAAGAAGCATCTATAGGGAATGCAGAAGGATCATTCATGAAGGTATTACAAGCCCGGAAGAAGAACACGAGCACTGAGCTGACCATTGTGCCAGAGAAAGCATCCTCAGACAAAAATGGCGTCAGTTTGTCAGCATTCATGAACGAGCAGCTAGACTTTAATGATGAAAGTGATGTTATCAGCGCACTAAATTACATTTTGCCTTATTTCTCAGAGGGAAATCTAGAAGATGTAGAATCAACATTATTACCATTCATTAAACTTCTTTTTTCAAGTGTACAAGATGGAGCTGAAAAGGAGATGGGTCATTTGAAAAATAACACAAAGAACCCTTCTCTTATTCGTAAATCCAGTAATTCAACTTATAAAAATAAATTGAAGAGACTCTATTTTCTGGAAAATTTGTTAGATGCAGAAATCCAAGAGAAAATTGATGAGGTTAAAAAGAAAGAAAAAATTGCCATGCTTATACATTCCAACCTTTTAGGTCCCAAATTTAAACGCCAAATCTTTCAAAAGAAATTAGAAACTGCCCAACCCCAGGAAAACAGCCCAGCAATGATTCAGAGCGGAGGGAAAAGGCTGCTAAGAGTAAACAGGGTCCTTAAGGGCCCAAAGGGCATACAGAAAAGGCACTTCAAAGAAGTGGGAGATCAGCGCATCAAGAGGAAGCAGAATGCCCAGCCATTTGTGGAGAACGTTGCCAAAGAAAGAAGGCTCAGGCCATCCTCAGGGGAGCTGGAGCCGCTTCACATGGCCTGGAGGCCCAGGAAGTTAGTGGGAAACTCCTTCAACACAGAGCCTTCATCCCTAAAGGAAGATAAGGCAGCAGTCTCTTCTTTTCTGAAACAATACTCCATGGGCAGCCCTTCTGACGCCACAGCTCTCAATTCCCTATCTGAGGTTAAAAACAAATCAAAAGACTTAAGCTACACAATTTTTGTTTTAGAAGATGCAAATGCCAGAGTTAGAAATATGAAGGCTTCTAAACCAATCTCACATTCCAGAAAAAAATCCCTCTTTCATAAAACTCGCCCTCGTGTGGTCCACAGAACACCCAAGGTCAAAATGAGTCAAAAGTTCAGAGAGGAAGGTTCACTCAATAGACTGATGCTTGCAAAGAGGCCTCCATTCTCTGCAGTGAGAAGCCTCATAAACTCCCCTTCACGAGAGGCTTTTTCATCTTCAGAACTGACTTCTCAGGAAAATCCTTTTCTAGAATTTTCTCCTTCAGAACCTTCTGCAGAAAAGACTACTGTAGAAAACACTACTGCACAAAATGGTTTTGACGAAAATATTCCTACAGAAAATACTGCTGAGCCAGAAGACACTGTCTCTCAAATCACTGCGAGTAAGAATGTTTCCACTGCAGATGCTGCTGTCACTGCAGACAGCATTATGCCAACTGTTAAACAAACCAATGAAACCCAATGGGAATACCAGAAGGTGGGCACTGGCTTACCCTCCAAGCCCACCCACTTCCCTTTCCCGTTGTTCTCATCCCCGGGTGATCAATTTGAAACTCAGCTAAACCAGCAGCTACGGTCCCTCATCCCCAACAATGACGTGAGAAGGCTCATTTCGCATGTCATCCGGACCTTGAAAATGGACTGCTCTGAGACCCATGTGCAACTGGCCTGTGCCAAGCTCATCTCCAGAACAGGCCTCCTGATGAAGCTTCTCAGTGAGCAGCAAGACGTTAAGGTGTCCCAGGCAGACTGGGATACGGACCAATGGAAAACTGAGAACTATATCAATGAGAGCACAGAAGCCCAGAGTGAACAGAAACAACAGGAGTCCAGCGAGGTGAAGACAACTCCCAAAATGTGGGACCTGAACTTTTAGTCAGTTTAGGACTTGCCCCTGAAGCACCCAGCAGGAAGACCAGGGGCTCCTAGTCCGTGTCGTGTCTTGGCCATATAACTCTGGTTAAAACATTGACCTCCCACTTTGCTCATTTAGCGAATGGAGCCACTATTCCTAGGGTAGATGAGTAAAGGACCTAACACACAAGATAAATAAATTGTAGAAGAAACTGCTAATGATAAGATTATGTAACATTAGATTTGGTATGTTCTTTAAGAAACTATAAGGTACTCACGGGAAAGAATGGGGTTTCAGAGCAGTCTAAGCATAGTTAACTGTTCTTTAGAAAGGGTTTAAGAATAGTTAGCTTTAATAGTTTCCATCTCTTTGTTTAAAAAAAAAATTATCCTTAATTTTTTCAGCTCACAAAAGAAGTTCCAGGATATGGCTATAACAACAAAGTCATTTTGACAATATCTGTGACTGTAGTAGTGATGATTTTGATTATAATTTTCTGTCTCACTGAGGTAAGGACAACAATTAATTCAGATTTCCAGTATATGTCTTGTCTTTAAATAGATTTGGATCTCACAAACTGAAAATGAAAGCCGCTTTTCCACCTTCTACTACTTGACATTCCTCTTGAGTCATGAAGCCTGAGATCTGCTTTGTTCTTTTATTGCAAAGTATATTCCAGGGATTTTTAAAGGACGCCTACTCCCAGGAGATCTCTGTGGAACTGAAACCAAGATCACAAGCCCTTAGACTATTTTAAGAAGTTAAATTTAAGAAGGCCAGAGTTGACATGATAGTAAAATGCCTTCAACTCCAAGCTATGTTGACTTGATGTACTCACCAGTCACTTTCATTCTACCCCTGATTTCTTTCCTTATTGGCCGAAATGATGAGAGATATATAATCGCCACCCTCCTGGAGCTGTCAGTCACCCTGGGAGAAAGCACTTGGCTAACCGATGAAAGTGTGATCTTGTCAATTCATTAGATTTACTTAGCAGCTTTCTTCTCCAGTGTGTGAGGCGTTGTGTAAATAGGTTCAGTTAAAACACTGCATCAGGCTGCTCATGTCGTATTTACGTAGCCTGTTCCTGGAGCTTGCTTATCTTTGGTTCAATTGCATACCTTTCCCAACAGGCAGGTGCTAACATTCAAAGAGTCATTTAATGAGCTGACAGTCTTGGCTCTACCCTACCAATCCAACCTAATTTACCTTATTTACCTTTGCTACTGTCATGACAGGCCTCTGTCCCAGCCAAAGCAGCCCCCCACCATACCCTAGTCATACCACGCCCATCCTGACTTTTATCTGTGCCTTTGCCCTTCTAAAATCCCCTTATTTTGCTCTGCCTATGGAAGTCCTATGAATCTCTCAAAAGCCAATTCAAGTTCATCTTTCTTCATAAAGCCTTCCCTGAGTACTCTAGCCTTTCCAGTCCTAGTCCTTCTGTGAGATTTGTCACCATTTCTTAGGGGCCATAGTGAGGCATCCCCCTCCTCTAAGAACTTAAAAATATGGTAAACACTTTTTTAAAAGGTGGCTCCCCCAGAGAGAAACACCAAGGTCAACACATTATGGAGCAGAGCAGAGATGTGTAAGGACCAAATGGCTTCCTGATCTCTCAGACTTGAGGAAAACCTGACTGGATCCATTAACTGCTAAAGAGAAACATGTCTATCTTCAGGAGGGTTGGTCCATGGTAAAAGCATAGAAAAAGGGAAGAAGAGACCAATATGGGCAGTGGTCACCCTGGCATTGCCAAGAGTAGAAATGGCACCTCAGGCAGCAGATATGGAAAGTCAGGCCCACTAGCCAAGCTGTGCCTTTCGGGGAGATGGATGACCCGGCTGCTTCAGTCCTTCCCAGTAAATGCTGGGTTCAGCTGACCCTTTTGTTCTAGCTCTATTCTCACCAAGTAGCCTTCGGATTGTGCCACAGAGGCCCATCTCTATAGAAGGTAATTCCCTGATTGTGTAGACACGGATGCCCTGTCTGTGGAACAGATGGATATCTCATTGTAAGTCATAATCTGGCATTCTGACTTTTGATCAATCTTGTGATACTGATAAGGTGAGACTGCCCTGATAGAAAGAAGTGAGTTCTCTCTTGGTGAGGACACAGTCTGATTTCTGAGTCTAGGAGGCTGGGGAGTAGCGTGGGTCAGCTTGCCAAGGCCTCTGGGAAAACAGTCATTGGCCATTGCCCAGACAGTACCCTCTGCATCTCCAGGTGGCATATGGCCTTTTGCCTTTTTGGAATTTCTATAAACTCCTATACTGCTTTTAATTTCTATGTAGTTTAACCTTTCATTGGTATTTATTTATATGGTTTCATTATTTCCTCTCCCCATTTAAATGATAAGCTTTTTGAGGCCAGGGACCATGTAGTGTTTTTCCTGTAGTAGACAATAATGATGTTCAAAGGAAGAGAGATGAGGCATTGTGTCAATTCCACAGTGAGGAATCATGCAACCTAATATTTATATGAAGTAGCATACAGAGTTCAGCAATAGACAGACCCTTGTGTTGCTAACACATTTGAAATGTCACCTTTTAAGATTCTAATCAGTAGAAGAAAATGAATAAGTGGTATAGCACAGCTGCCTAACTATTTTTGGGGAAATAACAGCATATCCCTATTTCTCATCTTAAACGAACATATAAAAAGAAGCCATAAAAGTATTAGAAGAAAATAGAAGCAATATTTTTATAATCTTTTGGTGGGAAAGAGCTTTCTGACCCTGATAGCACAGACAGATCTGACTGCCTTGTCTGTGACAGCATTAGCAAACTTAGCAGTGACTTATGCCAAGCATAGGACAAAGAGTTTTCCATCTATTTTCTGATTTAATCCCCACAATCCTGTGAGGACGATATTGCCAGCCCTCTTTCACAGATGAAGGAGATCAGCTTAAGACTCCAGTGGCAAAACCAAGAGCAGAACACGGTTTCACCTACAAAGCCCATGCTCCTTAGTCCGCTGTTCAGTTTTGTCTCCTTAAAGATGAAAACACTGGGAAATGTTGGAAACACTGAAATTCAGTGAAAGCCACTGAAAGGATTAATATATTTAATATAAATAGGCTTTTATAAGTCAACAGAAAGAAGACAAACAATCCAGGGGAGAAAGGGGTAAGGTCTATGAAGAGCAGGAGGCATGTTGACAGTCTGTCACCGTATCTGCCGGTCCTCTCCTCATGGCTTATGGTGTGTGGGTTTTGTCAGCAAGGCCTTTGTCACTTCGTGGTACAAAAATACCTCTGATATTTTTATGTTTTCTGATATAAAAAGTCTCATATTTTCTTCCAGTACTTTTATAACATTTGTTGTTATATATTTTTAAATTCATCTAGAATTTGTTTTATTTTTCAGTGTGGTTGAGGTAAGGGAACTAACTTGTTTTCCCTGCCTGTAGATCTAATTGTTCTAAAATCTTTCATTGAATGGTTCATTCTGTCTTCACTGATCTAAAATACTATCTTTATCTGTACTCTGTTCTATTGATCCAGTTATCTTTTCCTATACCAATACCAGTATCACACTAAATTCTAGTTGCTTTATAACATATTTTGATACCTGATAGGGTAAGCTCCTGCTCTTTGATCTTTTTCATACATTTCATAGCTATTCTTGCATATTTTCTCTAGCAAAGGTCAGCTGGCTAGTTTTTGTTTAAAAAACTATCTTGGAATTTGAATAGAATTGCATTGAATTTGTAGGTTACCTTGAGGATACTTGACATCTTCACAACATTCTAGGAACACGGTATCTCACACCATGTATTCATTTCTTCTTAATGTCCTTCCGAAGAGTTTTAATGTTTTCATCACATAGGTCTTACACATTTTTTGTTAAGTTTATTCCTAGACATTTATGAATTTTATTGATATTATAAATGGGATCTTTCTTCTGTTTTTTAATTAGTTACTCGTGGTATATAGGAAAGCTATTGAGGTTTGTACCTTGATCTCTTGATTTTGTGTCTAGCCATCTTGCTGAATTCTCATATTACTGTCAGTAAAATTTTAGTTGATTCTCTTGGGCTGTTCAGGTTGTCCATCATTTCATATGCAAATATGTTTTGTCTTTTCCTTTCCAATACCTTCATTTTTCTTATTGCATTAATTAGGACCTCCTCAACAATGATAAATACTAGCAGTAATAACAGGCATCTTACTCTTGTTCTTGACTTTAAAATGATGCTGCTGTTCAGGTTTCTGGTAGATACTCTTATTTTCTTTTCCTACTTCTAAGAGTTCTTATTAAGAACTATCTGTTGAATGTTATCTAAAACAGCCAACAAAATATATTGCCAGCTGTATGCAAGATCCTAAGTTAGGTACTGTGGAAGATCAAAGGATTATTGAACAAGATAGAGTTTCTATCCTCAAAAAAAGTTATCTCACTGGTAGATAAGACTTAAAATAATAAGGAATGAATAAAGATTTTGAAATGGTCATTGTGATGGATAATCACGATCATGTTTTCTTCCAAAACAGATTTATTCTCATAGAACAGCACCAGAGGAAGGTACAGAAAGGAGCTCAAGGTAAATATTGGTCTGGCAGTTTCTAAACTAGAATTTTAGAACTAGAGCAGAACTTAGAACTCATCTATTTCAATCTGCTCATTTTACAGTAAGGAAACCATGAAAGGCATGAATAATACTTATTTCCCCTAATGCTTTGCTTTGATCCAGCAAAACTAGCTCCCCAGCGAAAGCTGAATTAGAGTGGGACTGACACAGGTGAATCTGCTGTCTCTAGTCCTTTAAGGAAAGAGGGTGGTGGGGAAGAAGTTTTGGTTGTACCTGTTCCTGCTGGTAGTGGGCATCAGGCCCGGCCAGAGGCCTTCTCAGAGGCTCTGGGGAAGGGGTAGGGAAGGCCACATGGTGTTGGGGTAAAGAGGCTAGTCTCCTTCAAGGTTGGTAGAAGGCAGAATATATGAATCCTTCCTGTAAAGTGGCAGGAAAACTTCCCTTCTCATCCTATTGGTTTTTAGGCCTCCACTTTCTATTCTCTTTATCCAAACCTCATGGAATTTTAGCTGGGAGAGACCTTAGACAGTACTTTGTCTCTTCCTTTTATAATAAGAAAGTGAGGAAGGAGAAGGGGAAATATCTTGCCCCATGATCATACTCCTGTGAATGTCGGAAAGAAGATGGTTCCTTTCCAGATGGGGACTTCTCCGTTGATTACACTGTGCTCAGGCTGTGAGCTACGTTTGATGTCATGACTCACTTGACACATACCATATAGAAATAAGTAGTTTCTAAAACAAACCTATTATGCTCACTCATTTTTTCTCTTCTGTTTTCAAAAAGAATATTTTGTGGTTTAGTGCTAGTCATGAGCTTTAAACTGATTTTACAACTCTCTCACTGATCACTGGCAGCCTGCAGTATGAAAGTCACTGAGCTAGATAACTTTGCTCCTTGGACTCAGGCACTTATTTGGTGTGATTCAACTCATAGGATAAAGCAGCTGGGAAAATAGAAGCACCATCTCTCCCACCCCCAGCAAGTCATGCCTGTGAGTCTAGGTCCGAAGGGGACTGATGTACAATGCTTCTGGAGGGAGTAAAGTGCTTCTGCCCAGTGTGGTTGTGCAGTTTGTTCACTGCACAACAGCACTTGGCCAAGGGCCAAGAGGTGAGGGGGCGCTGAAAATCCTGCCTATACTCCATTCCAAGCCACATACAAAGGTCTCCCCAGAGACATTGTGGAGCCATTTTGGGCAGACATGGAGAACTTCTGGAAGCTCAGGATGCATGGGATTATTTTCAAGATCCCAGGTCTGGGGTGATTTTGCTCGTTGTGATTATGGACTGAGGTACTCACTTAGTCCTAATAAGACCAGAGGTATATGTTGTGAGAGACATGGAAAATGGCATGAATCACTAATTGTCTGTCTGTGTTTTCCTCCAAGGAGCTTTTTTCGATTTCTGCGTAAGAAACGCTCAACGGATAGTGAGAGTAAGGTAAATTTGAGGAGGATAAAGCACTGTGGCCAGAAAGAGCAGGAGAAATGCATAATCCCGATTTCCCTTTCTGTTTTCTAGGGGGGCTTTTTCTGGAGAAGGCGGCCACTTTGGCTTAGGGATATGTACAGACCTCTCAACGCCACACGCAAGAAAAACATGGCACAGAAACTACATGACAAGGATTCTTCGGACGAGGAAGAAATTTTCAACAAGGATACAGGGTAAATGACTGGGGATGATTTAAAATTCTATCTGAAATGAGGAAATAATGAGAAGTTCAATGGTTCCTTTCAAAAGTAACAGCCCTGGCCCCGTTCTTCTCACCCCAGGGAGCTCGCCGAAAGCTTGGCAGAGAAGATTCCCACTACCGAGTCGGTGGCTGAGGAGGGCGGGGAGGAAAGTGAGATGGCCCCTGAGGACGAGTGACCCCAGCCAGCCACAGGTCAACCACAAACATGATTTTCTAGTATTGGCTTCTCAGCATTGCTTGGAAAATACTTATTTTTCTCATATTAAAATGTATAAATTCATATCCAACTCTAGCCATGTGGTAAGGAATTAAAAAGTAACTAGTTAAATATTTATATACAGATAACAAGGGCCATAGGCAAGACAAGCAGAGCTGAAGCTGGAATCCGTCGTGGTGGCCGGTGCTTCCACAAGAGGCAGTATGGGCAAAGAAGGATGAATAGGGGCTTCTCTCCCTTGCTTCCCCAATAGAATCAGTACCTGGGACCTGGAAAACATATCATCCTCAAGAGGTATAGATTACTAAATCAAATAGCTGTTTATTCTGGTGCTCTCCCCTGACTTAGCAAGTACCAGTTATTTGCAACATACGTGACCTCCTGCCCATAAAGGATCCTCCACTTCTGGCCCCATTCACAGGATCTTTGGGGTTGCCAGAATATTTGGATGATTGAACCTCCCTCCACTGTAGGGCCAAGGCCTGTCTTTTTTCCCAGGCTCTCAAACTCATGCACAAAAGCATGCCCTGTCTTGGTAGGAGGTTCCCCACCCTTACAAGCTAGTAGAAACTTCACATTGGGTTTTTTTCTTTCTTTCTTTTAAAAAATCCCAACCCTTGGATAGCTAGCAGGGAGGTGCTGGAGGGGGAGGGTAAAGAAGAATGTGTGAGAGCAGTTATTGCCCAAGACTCCCCTCCCCAGCCCTTTATTTCAGAAAACATTGGTGGGGCTACTTCTCCATTCACATGTACCGCCCTAGCCCCTCCTGACCCCACTGAGTGTCAGGTGTGTGCTCCTCGGCTCCCTCCAGCTCAGCCCAGCACCAAACCCCACCACTTCCTTCCTCACCCAGCGCAGATCCATGGCTGCATGATTCCAAGTGGTGATGCTAATGCAGTCTGCAGAAGATGCAACAACTCCTCCACTCCTTCTGCAAAGTCATGAATAGAGCACATTTAGTAAGTAGTGAGAGTTAAATGCATTAGTGAGTAAAAGAAATTCTGAATGAACAAGATTTGGTAATCTACCTAGATAAACACAAATAGATGCTGGTGGTTTAGTAATAGGAGAGGAAGAATGGTGCCAACCACAGACAAGAGCAGAGTCCCCCAGAGGAGCAGTGAGACCAGGAAATGGCCCAGCAGGTTTTGCCTGTTAGGTAGGGCTCCAAGCAAAATGAGCAGCACATCGGTTCCTCATCTGGTGTCTTAGTTTGCTAATACTAGGCGAGAGACTCCTGTTCTCCTGGTGTCTGCCCAAGTTCCCTCCCAAAGTTTCTTACTGAGAATGAAAAACAAGCACTTTTCTCTGTGTGATGACTTCAGTGAACCAACAAATATTTACTGTGTTTAAAGCCCAAGACTAAATAGTAATAAGAGGAAGCAACAGCAGCATCTAACATTGACTCTTTGCTTATGTGGTGCCAAGCCCTGGGTTGGGCACCTTGCAGTCTTAATTAGCCCAACGGTCCAGGGAAGCATATTTTGTTATGCTCATTTGATAGATAAGGAAACAAGGCTGAAAGAATGCAGGCAACCTGCTCGAGTGCCCAAGGCCACACCTCCAAACCTGCGAGTTAGAGTTTTAACCCAGTCCTATTAGACTCCAGAGCCTGCTAACCATACACTGCCCTGCTCTCGGGGGTCAGGATACAGAGAAGTATAAGCCATGGCTGCCATCAAAGAGTCAATCACAATAACAATAATATTGATGAGGAGGATGATGGCAGCTCCAGTTTACTGAGCACCTGCTGTGGGCCAGGTCCTGTGCTAGACACTTTAGTTACACTGTAAGGTCACAACGGCAGAAACTCCCCATGCCAGCTCAATCTCTGTAATGAGAGGGGGGGTTGATTTTAATAAGAGAGTCGGACACAAAGACAGGAAGCTGACAAGAAACCAAGAAGAGAGATCGTTGTACTGCTGGTCTTTTCAAAGTATAGACCAGGATTCCAGGCAGCCCCAGGTTCCTTTTGGGGGTATTTCCATTATTTCAAATTTGGTACATAAAGTGAGGCTTAGACAAGATTTTTTTATACAACACTACCTCAGATTTGCACAAGTCTTATTAGTCTCAAATGCTCCCCTAACCATATTTCTAAACTAAAATTCCCAAGAGTAAGATTCTGCTTTGCCCAGCTTGACCTCAGTTGGACAGTGTTTTTGCCAGAGCCCAGAGTCTTCACCTGGCTAGCCTATGGATGAGCTAGTTCATCCAGGTACACACCCCCAGCCGTAGCCTGGAAGGAGGAGGGGTGTGCAGGGTCAGGTGGTACAAAACATGGCTGCCTAGGGCTGCCTCTGTCTCCATTGTACTGGTGGGCAAACTAGCTCAGAGCCCAGCTCCTAACGGAGATCCGAGTGATAGAAGGAGATAGGGGGATACAAGGCCAGCAGCTATTAAATGAATGAAAATTCTCACTAATTCCGATGAAACCTGTCAGAGAAATCAGCCATTTTTTAAAAGATAATGAAATGAGGCAATGTATGATTAGGGCAAAAAATGATACAGAAAAGAAATGTAGGGGTTCAAAGGAGAGACGGTTAGGCAAGCTAGGGAGAGTCCATGAAAATGATGGAACTTGAGTTGGGCCTGGATTATATGCCAGACACCGTGCCTGATACTGGGGAAAGAGTTGACTATGACAAAGTCCCTGCCCTCACGGGGCCCCTAAGACTGGGAGGAGGGACAGACACCTGAAGATGTACGTAGAAGACAGTGTGTTGGACATGACAATAGCAGTGTACCAGACAAGTGGTTTAGCTCTTGATTGGCGGGAAACCAGTAGATGTGAGGGCTGGCTTGGAGGAGAGGAAGTGGAAGAAAGCCAAACAGAAATTTTTTAGGCTGACAAGATAAAGGAAAGGCATTCTAGACAGAGGATAGTACAAAGGCAAAGAAGCCTGAAACCTCGAGTGTGCTGGACCTTTGTGCAGTCTGGTGTTCTGGAGCGTGGAGCACAGGGAAGAAAAGTCAGGACATGAGGCTGTGTGGGCGAGCATGGAATGGATCTCAAAGGGCCTAGTGAAGGCCCACGGACCTGACCAAACAGAGCACAAACTACTAATGTTTTAAGCAGAGAAGAGACATGATCAAGCTTTAGTTTTAGAAAGAGTACTTTGATGGTGGCCCATAAATAGGCAAAGAGATCAACTTGGGGAACTGGGAGAAAATGGGGCACCAGAGAGGAGGTTTTGATGCAGCTGAAGAACGTGTAGAGTGGATATGCATGAGTGAGAACTGGAAGGACAAGAGCTTATGTTCAAAGAGTAAAAGACTGGAATTTTGAGATTCTTCTGGTAAATTCCAGATGATGATAAAGTCCAAGTGTAATCTGGGAATGGGATCAGTGAATTCTTGGGAATCCAGGAGGTGTGGAGAATCACATCGGGTAGTTGTGGAGATCCATTCCCTTTCCCCTTTCAGTAGCTCAGCAGAGAGCTAGCTCAGCAGGTACCAGTGAGCTCAACGGGAAAAACAGACTCCCCCTTTCTCATGAGATTGTTTTCTTTCATCAGTTGGTTTCCACTGTTAGTGGAATAGATGTTCCCTGCCTTGCCATCCCTATAAACGTGTGCATCCTAGGCAGGCTCCCTCTCTACAGGAGCTGTGGCTGTGGGACACACGGTCCAGCTAAGTCTGGCCTAATTCCTTTCTCTGAAAGCTTGAAGGATTGAGTACACTGTTACTATTTTGCTTGTAAGTTTCCCCAAAAAACAACAAAACCCTACTTTATATCTGCACATTTAGTACTACTGTCTTCTTTACCTGATGGGGTCAAGGAATTTTATGTCCAGGAAAATCTATGGGTTGTTGGCATGGCAGGTATTATGGTACATGGGAAGACTTGGAGCCTGGGGCCAAAGTCCCATTATGAGGGCATCATTCTTTAATATACCAGCTCAGAGGAGAGCCAGCCCTGATGGCCTAGTGGTTAAAGTTCAATGCGCTTACTGCTTCGGTGGCCCAGGTTCAGTTCCCGGGCACAGAACTACACCACTTGTCTGTCAGTAGCCGTGCTGTGGCGGCAGCTCACGTAGAAGAACTAAAAGGACTTACAACTAGAATATACAGCTATGTACTGGGGCTTTGGGGAGGTGAAAAAAAAAAAAAAAAAAAGAAAGGAAGATTGGCAGCAGCTGTTAGCATGTTAGCTCAGGGCGAATCTTTCCCAGCAAGATTTACCAGCTCAGAGGGTCTCTAGTTTGCCTGGTTCAACCCCTATATCAGACAGTGTATTGATTATCTGGTGCTATGTAACAGATTGCACCAAAATAGTGTCTTAAAACAACAATAAACATTTATTCCTTACAATTTCTTTGAGTCAGGAATTCAGGAGTGGCTTGGGCAGTTCTGGCTCTGGGCCTTTCATGAGGTTCTGAAGATATCAGCCGGGGCTGCAGTCATCTGAAGGCTTGCCTGAGGCTGGAAGGTTCACTTCCAAGGTGGCTTGCTCACTTACATGGCTGCAAGGTGGTGCCAGTTGTTGCAGAGAGGCCTCAGTTCCTCCCCACATGGGCCTGTCCACATGCTACTTAACTGAACATCCTTACAACGTGATGGCTGGCTTCCTCCAGAGTGAGCAATCTAAGAGAGAGAGACAGAGACAGACGTTATCCTTTTTATGACCTAGCCTCAGAAGGCACATAGCATCACTTCTGCCACATAACACAAATAGTTAGAAGTCATTCATTAAATCCAACTCACATTCAAGGGCAGGGGATTTAGACTCTACCTTTGAAGAAAGAACAGTCAAAGAATTTGCAGACATATTTTAAAACTACCACAGGCAGGAAAACAGAAACAATTCTAGATATTTCAAGCAAAAAAAAAGAGATTTTTTACAAGCAATTGGTGCTTACCCTTGGAGAAACCACTGCTGAGGTCCTTGCAGCCCCCCAGCCCCGAGGCTGGTAACTGGTGGGGGAATACCCAGTCCAACTTGCAGCCTGCACGTCTGCTGCTGCAGAAGAGGCAAGAATGACTTCTGCCTCTTTCCACCTTCCGAATTCCACACAGTACATTTTATTGGCAGAACCCTGCTGTCAAGGGAATCTGTGAAATGTGGTT